TACCAAGGACTGGGTGTTGATGTTATAGATGAGCCCCTTTTACTTATCAGTCTCTCTCCTCATGCTAAGCAGCTTCTCAGGGTTCATAGATGCAATGCTGGCATGTTTTAATTACTGCTCCTCCTACACAGTTAGGATTACCTTGGGAATTTGCCTTTCTAAAAGACAAACAGATTAGCAGCTCGCTTTATGCCGCATGCGATGCACACCAGTGATTCCTGCATCGAGCAACACCATTATTACTTGGTTTGTGCTTGGAAATATTTGCTCTACCTTTTCCATATGAACATGTAGTGAAAAACATAATGGGCAGTTTTGCTTGTCTGAAGGATTGGAATATCTCCCCTCGGGGATTCTGGGATTAGCTTTAATTGCCGCAACGCTGCCCACCGTGGATTCCTTCAGCACATCGGCTATCCAGTCTATCATTAGCTGATGCTGTCTCTGGACTGTGTTTCTCTGTCTGAAAAGAAAGCCAAATCCACAGCAATTTATGGACTTTTTTCACAATTTATGGAATAATTGTCAAGCATGGCTTGTTGGACAACTGTTCACAAATGGCAGTATGCCCATACTGGTTCGGCCCTCATCCAGCTGACAGGTACAGTTTTTCCTGTCTGGTGATAGGTGAGATCTGCCGTGAGGTCATGACTTTCTTTCACCTTTTCTACTCATCCTGTGTGTTTCTGTCAGCCTGAAAGATACATTATTTAGCTTTATGGTGCTTTTATAGAAGTAAAACAAAAATGTGAACATAAAATGTGAAAGAAATAAAGACAAAAGGGATAGTTTTTGATTCATCGTCTTTATTGCTTCTAATTTCAGCAGTTCTATAGTTCTTTCCTCCCCTTATTTTGCATATTTGTCTTTCAGCCTAGTTACCACACAAAAACATGTCATTAGCTATAGTGAATTTAACCCTGATTCTCTTTTTTTGTTTGTTTTTGGTTTTTGCTCATCATTCATCCAGAAAGTCTCTGTGCTGTGTTTCAGTGTGTGCGTGCGTGTGTGTGTGTGTGTTAGAAAGTGAGTGGGTGTGACCTGGCCACTCTATATTTAGCTCCTGTGCCACTTTCCCTGGTCCCACAGCACTGCAGAGTCCTGGAAAGGATGGCTCTTTGTTGTTACACTTACCTTTTCCTATTTGGGTAGAAGTTAGAAATCCTCCACCAGTCTGCTCTCACACCGGTTTTGTTTTTAAACCATTATATTTGCAGGATCTTTTTTCCCCATTTCTTATGCTCATTAGGGGGTTTTGGAAGCCAGAGGATATTCCTAATTAAAGTAGAAAAATTAATAATTGGTGAAATCTCTGAATATCTTAAAATGAAACTGACCTTGACTTGGATTTTTGTAGACTTGTGTTTTAAGCTCTTATTCATTCACATTAACTGTTATAGTCTCTGAAAATAAGGAGGGTTTTAAATGGATTTGAGCAGTCTTGTGGGTAATACAATTTACTTTCATTTAATTTTTGGTGTATTTTCAGAAGAAAATCTTAATTTAGGCACCTTGAATCGTTACCATATTGTAGTGAATTCACTCTGCTACACAGAACCCACCGTGTGCTCTTCTTTCCACACAGACTCATTCTGACTAAAACACACAGTGGTCTTCTGCTAGTCATCGTGTCAACATTGTTTTTTTTTCTCCTTGACCTTTGATTTTCCTGCTGCTCAGTGGCAGCCAGCCAAGCAGACAGCAGTTTGCATGCCTAATCAGAGATTTTTGTTGCTTTAGAAGATGAATCACTCCATGGTGAGACTACACAGACCTCTATCTGTAGAGCTGAGCAATCTGGTCTAAACCTAAAAAGAGATGGTTTAATATAACTGTATACAATATCAATCACAATGGTTTGCAACCCAACAGTAAGCCACTGATTCACTGACTTCTTGATTAAAATTCTAACCAACCAACGACTCCACTCTTCAGAATGTAGTTTAGTCATTTATCATTTGAAAAGACCATTCAACACAAATAATTCTTGTATTTTGATATTTACTCAGTGGTAAGGTGTTGACATGTCTTTAGGCTGCGCTATACCCCTCCTGTCTCAGCGTGAAAAAACAAATAATCATCGTAAAGCTGCGTCTGTAGAAAACTCAATCTACTCTCACATGATGGATCACAGAAACACCTCCGGCTTTTCATTTGCCATCTCTAAGTGCTTACTAGCATCTGATAAGTAGGGAACCTGCTATTGGTGGAGCTTGATGGCAAGAAGTTATGTTAAAAAGTATACTCATTAAATAAATAATAATGAAAAGAATTGTCCACTCTACCTGAATGCGACAGAACATGTTTTCCTTTACTCCCTGAAAAAGAACATGATGGAAATTGAACAAGGAATTAAAAGGAAAGACAGAGACGCATTTGGATTCTCGTCCAGCTCCTCAGTAGCGTCTAATTAGCATGCAGAAGTAAAATGGAGAATGTGCTCGGAGCAGACTAGAACACATTTACCCCTACTTCACACTGGAGGCGTCAGCGTCGCAGAACGGTTTACTTGCGAGCTTCGCTGCGTGCCGGTACACACTGGAAGGATATCAGCCATGGAGCGGCTTCTCTGCCGTGCTCCTCACTGGACTCGAGATCACAAAATCCCTCAAGACTTCAAAGGTCGCAGCTTGTTTATGCCATTCGTCAGTAAATCAAAAAGAAAGAAATCACATTTGATGTCATATATGATGTACCTCCCAACTGCCAAGATTAAAGCCATAAAAACGCACACTTAAGCCATTAGGTCACATATTTTGATGTAATTACATAGATATGAAATTTTGTTGCCGCAGTAGTCTTATTTTAAAACGAGCACAGGTTTTACACGTGTGTGATTTCCTGTCTAGCCCAATGTTAACTGCTGAAATTGACGTGTCCCAGTAGCGACTTGCAGCAAAAACAGAACTGAATCCTAACTTTAGAGGCGCGGCGAGCTGCTTCTGCAACTTGCCTGAAAATTTCCACATCGCGGCTGGTTTGAGTCGCCCCCACAGAGTATATCTGATTCTGTTTGAAGCGCTGCTGTTCCACTCTTCTGATACTTCCAGTGTGAAGTAGGGGTTACTATCGCTTTTAGTACACACCAGTTTCAAGTTTCTAGTGTGTGTGTGTGTGTGTGTGTGTGTGTGTGTGTGTGTGTGTGTGCGCGTGTGTGTGCGCGTGCGTGCGTGTGTGTGTGTGTGTGTGTGTGCATACACTACTGTAAAGCTACAGCTGATTAACTACACAGGGGGAAATTAGCACATTTCTTTCTCCATCAGTGCAGCTAGAAGAGCATCAGAGTGCTTGTTCAGACTTCACTCCAGCATGTTCTGTTCTGTCTGATCGGTAGAAGCAGTGTATTTATGCAATAATAAATATGTAAACAGATACACACTGTAGGTGGTGGGTTCATCTGAAGAAGGTGGTATTTTCATCTTCTCTTAGTGATAAAATATCTTTTATTTCACCACAGTGAGCTTTGAGGCTACGCTAATTATCTTAAGGAAAGTCCGACCTGCTGATTTATGGTCTAACGCTTCATGAATGAATCTCAACTCCCACTGGAGCATAGATACAACTGTAATCACTTCAGGGAGTCCTGTGTTCTTGTCCAAAAGTTGTTCAAACTGGTTTCACTCATTGAAAAGCTCCTGAGAGTGGATGATTGTTCCTGACTGAAGTCTGTGGGCTCTTCCACACCGTAACACCTATGAGATCCAGCTTGACATTTATTTGGTGACAGATTAACACTGGGAGACCTCCCATTACTCTCTGTACTTAAGGATTTTCTCAACTCGTAGTTGCAGTGTTGAAGTGAGAAGTGTTGAGTCTTGTGTAACAGTGAGTGATTAGTTTATAGCTAAACATCACAGATCCAAAATATAAAATAATTCATCATCTTCTTTTTCTGTGGGGACAGTTAGCTATGTTTAAAGATGGCCTCAGTGTTGCTGGATGTCTAAATGTGTCTTTACGTGACTCGTTTGGAAACACAGCTGGGCTCTGCAGAGCATGTTGGATTCCTAAAAAGAAATATGGGGCTGCTTTGTTTCATCTTCTTTACTTGTGTTGATGTTTAAAAACACCACAGGACTCAAGAGTTCAGCCGGTAGAAAGAGCACCCCCTGAAGGCATGACTAACCAATGCTTGTAATCAGAGTATGGAAAAAGATCGTCCATCTGTATTTTGTTGTTCATATTATTCTTATGATTATTTTGTGTTGATAAACAAATGTGACTGTTTGCTCAGTCCCAGTTATTTGGTAAGAATTTCTTTGCAGTAATGATGTTTCGATACTACTTGACCATAAGCTTGAATCCTGAGCCGAGCACCAAGATGTCAACATTTTATGAACAACTGATGGATGCTGACATGTGTGATCCCTGCTAAATGAGAAGAAGTGTCTCTGATGATTTGGTCTCATGTGTTATCATGTTTATGGACCTGTTTGTGGACAGCTCTAAGTTTAGCTTCAAACCTGCTCAAATCCCACTGAAGTCTTGATTATTTAGGCTACAGGCTGAGATGATCAGTGACACCAGTAGTCGTAAAACAGTTTATGACTTAAGGTCTAATTTATTGAGTAGATATCTTTAAACACATGAAATAAAGTCTAATGAGGCAGCAGTGGAGCCTGTGGTTCTTCAAGCAGACTCTTTCCATCAATTTATACAGAAAGCTTTATTGTCTACACTGTTATTGTGGGAATATCTTATCTCTAGTGGGAATTATCTGAAGTTCTTTACCTGCTTCACCTAGTGATTGTGTTCTTTTGCCACAGTTGTCTCTAGTTTCTCTTTAGCCTTGTGTTGGTGGAACAGCGTGCATTTCAGTTTGTGTGTTTAAACGCTGCCGATTTCAATCAAACATCTGTTCGGTCCCAAATAGTCTCCCCTCAAGGGGGGGAAGAAAAATATTTGGCTCAACCTATGGGAAAAAAGGGAGAGGAAAAAGGGGCTTTTCCTATAATTTCTTCCATTCAGAGCTCAATTGTCCTTTTTGTTTTTTCTTTCAGGCTTCAGGAGAAATGAGGAGATGAGAGCGATGGAGGTGCTTCCCATCCTCAAGGAGAAAGTGGCCTTCCTGTCAGGTGAGTGGGTTCTGTTTTCATTTGTATCACAAATCTACAAAAACAGGCTGATCACAGTATGCCAGGTGTGTTTGAACGGTGCTGCTGAGTCCTCAGGTCACACACCCACACACACACACACACACACACACACACACACACACACACACATGGTTAGTGGGTATCAGGCTGAAGACATGCCAAGTGCTTTCTCTATCACACACACACACCCACACACACACACACACACACACACACACACACACACACACACACACACACACACATGGTTAGTGGGTATCAGGCTGAAGACATGCCAAGTGCTTTCTCTATCACACACACACACACACACACACACACACACACACACACACACACACACACACACACACACACACACACACACACACACACACACACACACACACACACACACACACAGAGTCTTTTAACACAAGCTATTTACTCTGCCTGTAAAGCCTTGGTTGGGGGGGGGGGGGGTTCAGGCAGAGGCCCAGACACTTACCCCTTGACCCACCTTCAGACACATTCACACTCAGACTACACACAGTGCACACGCTGACACACACACAGATGACCGGTGTGTAACCAGTGTCAACAGGACTGCAGAACACAGAGCTGCAGCTGCCTGTCTTTGCTCAGCCATGTTTGCCACACACACACACACACACACACACACACACACACACACACACACACACACACACACGCACGCACGCACGCACACACACACACACACACACGCAGACTGAACTGCAGACTTGCTCTGCAAAGAGTTTCTAACTGAATTGTATGTATGATGTATAAAAACATCATTCATGGATGCGTGTGTGTTATCACATACGTGTGTAAATGCCACAGGAAAAACACTCATGCAGAAATTAAACAATTAAGTGAAGTTTGTTTTTATTTATGTGTTGGTCTCTGTGCCGACTCCTCTTGTGGTCCTTTTGTTTGCTGTGAAGGTCACAGGTAGAAGTGAAATGATGAGAACAAATAAACTGGGATTTGAGGGAAAGCATTGCTATGGAGATGGCTCGCTGTCAGCTGCCTCCTCTCATGGTAGTCCCTGGCAGGATAATTGAACTGGTCGAGGTGGGGATGAAGAGGAGTGTAAATTAATCTGTCCCCTTAAAAAACAGCCACGCTGGCCATGCCTCATGTCTCCCTGCTACCACACCAACGTTTGATTCTACTCTTCAGAGCAGCCCGGCAGCCTCCAGGCACACAGAACCCCGACTGAACTCACTAATTTGTGGGCTGAGCACAGTCAGTCCGTGTTTTCCAGGTTCCCACGTGAGACGAGCCTCTCTGCCTCTGCGTCCGATCAGCAGGAAATGTTATAAAACCAGATCTTCACTCAGCCACCTGAAGATGTGCAGAACAGTGTAGGACAAATTCATATTCGGGAACCTACATTAAGACCAGAATACTTTCCATGTGCATAAAGTGACATTTTCTATGGTTTTACAGCATTAACGTACAACAAAGCATCTGTTTGTGGTAGGGCTGCACGATATTAGGAAAACCTGCGATATTCAATAACAATGGTTAATATTGCGATGACGATATTACTCGCGATTAATAAAAACTTAACTCAGGAACAAAAAAATGCAAAACAAAGAAATAAGAAAAAATCATAAAAATGAGAAAAGCAAAAGATGTGAAGAAAGGGAACAATAAAATGAAGAAGAGAAGGCGATCAGTAGATCCCAGGAAAAGCAGAATCAGCAGAAAGAACAGAACAAAGCTAACTCAGGTGTTTGCTAACCATCAAAATTAAGTGCCATCCGCCTCGGGGGCGGCCATCTAACCTATGAGAACCCATCTAACTGGCCAAATGGGTGAAGAGCTCCATTTGATTTGTTTGAAAAAATCATACCTCCATTTGATTGACAGAGTTTAGCAAACATTTGAGCTGACCATTCATCGTGATATTTATCTGTTCTTTGCCATATGCATATTGTGCATGCTGATATCGCGATAACGATATATTTACGATATATTGAGCAGCCCTAATTTATGGTCAGTCAGGCTGACTGATGGACGCTCTACCATCTGAGCTTCAGCTTCTTCAAAAATTATAACGTTAAATAGAAGAAGACAGCCCTTGTATCTCAGCTATATTTGTACTCGGAAACAGATTTTCAGAACATCACACATCTCCTGAACCCAAAACACAAAACGGGGGACGTTGTGTCTCAATGGTTGTGTTGCAGGAACAGTCTCTTCCTGTTTCATCCCACACAGAAAATCCTGCTGTAAGCGAGTTCAGCAGGACGGATTACGGTCCGGTTCATTTCAATTGGATGCAAGTTTTTTGCTGTTTTAGATTTTCGGTGAAACTGAAAAAAGTATAAAAAAAAAACTTGTTGCTTTTTCTGACTAAATGAAGTCACCCTGGTACCGATGCAGATATAAATTATTTTGTTAAATTTTTCCTAAATAGTTGGAATTAGATCCAAAGTATAAAACTAAAGAAGGAAAAACAATCACCTCATTTCAATTTCTGATTTAAGACAATTATCTGAAATAGCTTAAACACTTTTCACATTGGCATGTAGTCCTTTAACTCTGTTGGTTTTTGGCTTAAATCACTAAAAGAGTAGTCAACCATCTCCTGCATTACAAAGACGCCTATTTTCCCCATTATTTCAAGATGTTTTGTTTCTGGCCTCAATGTCTTTGACCTGTTCAGAGTCATACGTAACGTACCGATTATAGCCACACTCTGATGCAGTTACCCAAACCAGATTATTTGCTCTAAACCAGTTACCCAGCGGGACTTAAGTTACTTATGTTTGCCCTTAGTCATTTATGAGCTCTAATGCTTCAGCAAAACAATGTAGCGTTAGCCGCAGATTAGCTTAGCAAATATATAGAAACACAGTCGTCATGCTGATATGTTCTTGCTTGTTAGTAAATGTAAATGTGCAAAAATGCTAAGTAATTTGTTCATATTATAGCTAGCTTAAGATAGTAGCATCACCATGAACATAGGCCTGGGCGATAAATCGATTTAACAATTTAATTTGAATGTTTTGTTGCGGGCGATTTAAAAAAAGTAAATTGAATTTTTATGTAATAGAGCCTTTTTGCCCCCCGGAGCTTCTGTAGGGTTAGTTTCACATAACCGCGAGAACAACGTCACAGCACGCACACAAAACAGCAACAGCAAACCGCTCCATGGCCACCGGTGAGAGTGGGAAGTTTGTGCCTAAGAAAGGAATTAAAGCATCCATTGTTTGGAACTGGTTTGGGTTTGCTGCGATGGACGTGGGGCGTGCTACTTTTATTCCAAGAGGGTGTTCATTAATTCATTATTCATCTCAAAAATGAGGGTTGCATTTGTCTTGCTTGTGATTAAATAAAAAACAAAATTGACTTTAAGATGCTCTACATTTGTACTTATTGCTATTCTTAATAAATGAGGGGGAGAGAGAATCGAAAAAAATCGTAAATCGAATGAAAAAAATAATTAAATCGGAGATTTTTTTAGGCCGTATCGCCCAGCCCTACATGAACTCCTCAGTCAAACTTTATTATTCTTTTTTGAAGACACTAGTACTTTTTCATGCTCATTTAGGATTAATTGAAGACATATGATTGGTTATAATAATAATGGATATTTATACAGCAAATTTCAAAGCCACTTTCCAAACATCACCACTGACATCTGACCTCAGAAACTGCAGAAATGAACTCAGTCAGATTTGCAGATGTTTAGCTACAATTTTATGTGTAAAGCCTAGTTTATTCTTCTCCGTCTGTGGCAGTATGGAGACTCGTATCGCCATCATTTGTTGATACAAGCACTCTGGGGCAGGCCTGCTGAGTGTGACAGAGACCACAAGCCTGTGATTGGTCAGCATGTCACTTCCTTTAAATTTGTCAACAGTACTGCCATGTCCAAACAAAAAGCATTCTGGTGATATCTAAAAGCAGACATGGAGCAGATCAAAGGACCACTTGCAGAATAAACCAATCAACATGAAACCTTTTATTGAAGGAAACCGTGGAAAACGTAGGTTTGGAGTTAGTGACCGTATGAAGAGATGGAAGAAAACAAGTGACAAATTTATCTGTCTTAAGAAGTCTCTGAAACAAATTTATACAAGTCATTCTCAAAAATTAGCATATTGTGATAAAGTTCATTATTTTCCGTAATATACTGATAAACATTAGACGTTCGTATATATCAGATTCATTACACACAACTGAAGTAGTTCAAGCCTTTTATTGTTTCTAATATTGATGATTTTGGCATACAGCTCATGAAAACCCAAAAATCCTATCTAAATAAATTAGCATATTTCATCTGACCAATAAAAGAAAAGTGGTTTTAATACAAAAAAAGTCAACCTTAAATAATTATGTTCAGTTATGCACGCAATACTTGGTCGGGAATCCTTTTGCAGAAATGACTGCTTCGATGCGGCGTGGCATGGAGGCAATCAGCCTGTGGCGCTGCTGAGGTGTTATGGAGGCCCAGGATGCTTCGATAGCGGCCTTAAGCTCATCCAGAGTGTTGGGTCTTGCGTCTCTCAACTTTCTCTTCACAATATCCCACAGATTCTCTACGGGGTTCAGGTCAGGAGAGTTGGCAGGCCAACTGAGCACAGTAATACCATGGTCAGTAAACCATTTAGCAGTGGTGTTGGCACTGTGAGCAGCTGCCAGGTCGTGCTGAAAAATGAAATCTTCATCTCCATAAAGCTTTTCAGCAGATGGAAGCATGAAGTGCTCCAACATCTCCTGATAGCTAGCTGCATTGACCCTGCCCTTGATAAAACACAGTGGACCAACACCAGCAGCTGACATGGCACCCCAGACCATCACTGACTGTGGGTACTTGGCACTGGACTTCAGGCATGTTGGCTTTTCCCTCTGCCCAGTCTTCCTCCAGACTCTGGCACCTTGATTTCTGAATGACATGCAAAATTTACTTTCATCCAAAAAAGTACTTTGGACCACTGAGCAACAGTCCAGTGCTGCTTCTCTGTAGCCCAGGTCAGGTGCTTCTGCCGCTGTTTCTGGTTCAAAGGTGGCTTGACCTGGGGAATGCGGCACCTGTAGCCCATTTCCTGCACACGCCCGTACACGGTGGCTCTGGATGTCTCTACTCCAGACTCAGTCCACTGCTTCCGCAGGTCCCCCAAGGTCTGGAATCGGTCCTTCTCCACAATCTTCCTCAGGGTCCGGTCACTTCTTCTCGTTGTGCAGCGTTTTCTGCCACACTTTTTCCTTCCCACAGACCTCCCACTGAGGTGCCTTGATACAGCACTCTGGGAACAGCCTATTCAGAAATTTCTTTCTGTGTCTTACCCTCTTGCTTGAGGGTGTCAATGATGGCCTTCTGGACTCAAGTCGACAGTTTTACCCATGATTGCAGTTTTGAGTAATGAACCAGGCTGGGGAGTTTTTAAAAGCCTCAGGAAACTTTTGCAGGTGTTTGGAGGTAATTAGTTGATTCAGATGATTAGGTTAATAGCTCGTTTAGAGAACCTTTTCATGATATGCTAATTTTTTAGATAGGAATTTTGGGTTTTTATGGGCTGTATGCCAAAAACATCAATATTAGAAACAATCAAAGGCTTGTACTACTTCAGTTGTGTGTAATGAATCTAATATATATGAGTCTAATGTTTATCAGTACATTACAGACAATAATGAACTTTATCACGATTTGCTAATTTTTTTGGGAAGGACCTGTACAGTACAAACATGCAATAGTAAATACACTAGAGTTGACCAAAGACAAGACTCCAATGGTGGTTGAACCTGCCCCAGAAAAGCGCTACGCCCTCTGTTGTCCTGGTGGGAAACTGCTTTGCAACACTCCCCAGGCAGCTGTGCGTGTCTTTGTGCCCCCGCATACGGAGAAGTATAAACTAAGCCAGGGGTATTAAGTTCTGGGCCTGGAGGGTCGGTATCCAGCAGGTTTTAGTTTTAACCTTGTTTCAACTCACCTGATTTCAATCAGCAGGTGATTAACAGGCTTCTGCAGAGCCTGATGAGCTGCTGCACAGGTGACTCCACCACTGAATCAAATGTGTTGGAGCATGGGCTGGATACTGACCCTCCAGAACCAGATTTGAATTCCCCTAGGCTGAACTAGGCTTTAGTAGCTGAGAGTCATTTAACCTCCACCACCCCCACCCCACCTAAAGTAACTACACGTTTGTGTCTCATCTGTTAAACTAATGAGGTGTCACTGCTACATCATAGTAAAACTTAAATCCTGAGTCCAGAACCAAGATGCAACGTATTATTGACTGTGTTTGTAGAGGTTGCAATAAATATATCACCAGTGTCACCAGATTTATCACCTGTGAAGTCAAACTGGCTCTCCCATGCTGTTCTTCCAGCACACAGCTGATGGACATCACCACGTGATGGGCACTCTGACGACAGATCTGTTACTATATTGTTGGATGAAGCATCCCCAGCATCGTTTCGCTAACATTCGTCTTTTTTATCTTTGATTAATCTGTGGGTTCTCCCTTCAGGTGGGAGGGACAGACGCGGTGGTCCGGTGTTAACGTTTCCATCACGCAGCAACCACGACAGAATACGAGCCGAGGACTTGAGGAGACTGATTGCCTACCTCGCTGGGATCCCCAGGTTACTCATTTATTCTCACCTGCAGTGTGTGTGTGTGTGTGTGTGTGTGTGTGTGTGTGTGTGTGTGTGTGTGTGTGTGTGTGTGTGTGTGTGTGTGTGTGTGTGTGTGTGTGTGTGTGTGTGTAATGTCTGCTGTGTCTACTCTTTTCATTTGGGAAAGAATAAAAAGGAAACAAGCAAACACCCAACAGCTAGTGGATGACTGTGTAGGGGGAAGCATGTGAGCAGCGAGGCAGAAGCCGTTGGCTCACTGCAGCTTGTTGTCTGAAGCAGAGGGATGCTGAGACAGAGGAGGGGAGTCATCTGAGCTAAGAGCGGGGACATAGAGCAGAAACAAAGTGACAAGGACAGTCTCATCAGAGGAGCACGGGGGGAGGGGAGGGGGACTTAAATGGACAGACGTGGAGAGCGCATGTGTGAGGAGGTGTGTGCAAGTGAGGGAGCGTGTGTGTGTGTGTGTGAAAGCAAAACACAGTGTCGCAGTAGCAGAGGCAGTCTAGCAGCAGCTACTGTGGGCAAGCAGCTCCTCGTTTCCCAGGTAAAACCATCTGTCGTTTCTTCTTCTCCTCTCCTGGTGTTTTTCTCTAAAACCCGCCGCTCCCCCGCGTCTCCTGCCCCCCGTCTGCTTCATTTCATTTGATCTTTATTCTGTTGATGATCCAATTTCTCTGCTAAACGTCCAACTTGTCAGTCACAATGTTTGTTCATGCTGAAGATGAAGTTTGATTTTATGTTTGTGATTAAATCTGTTTTATTTTGATGAAACCAACATCTGCTCACAGCTGGCTGCCGGCCGTCTGCTGATAGGCTGTCAGAGGGACTATTTCACATAATGTACAGAAGGAGAAGAAGCCGTTCTTTTTTCTGCGTTAGATAAGTGTTTTACTGCAGACAATGGGTGCATGGCTGTTTATCAACAACAAATGAGTTACTTTATTGAAATCATGATGATAAAATATTTTAGGAGTATTTTTGATGTTTGAGGCGGATTTTAAGTGTTCATCATGGTGTAACAGGCAGTGGAGCGAGGCTGCTGAAGCACAAACATGCTGGTTTGTGGTTTTATAATAAAGTACACATTTGTGACTTGCTTGCTATAGGTGTGTGTGTGTGTGTGTGTGTGTGTGTGTGTGTGTGTGTGTGTGTGTGTGTGTGTGTGTGTGTGTGTGTGTGTGTGTGTGTGTGTGTGTGTGTGTGTGTGTGTGTGTGTGTGTGTGTGTGTGTGTGTGTGTGTGTGTGTGTGTGTGTGTGTGTGTGTGTGTGTGCGTGCGTGCGTGCCGTTAGTGGGTGTGTGTGTTTGCTGCGTAGGCTTCTCACAGTATAGAAAATGCGTCATCTCACTGCTCTGATTTTCTCTATTTCCTGCTTTTCCCTTCCTTGTTCCCTCTTTCGTTCACAACCCCACCCTGTTGTGCTTCTCCCTTCTGGATTATAATCTCCTTGCCTCCTCAAATTCCTCCTTCTGACCTCCTATCACTATCTACCCCAGCGAGGAGGTGTGTAAACATGGCTTCACGGTCATTATTGACATGCGTGGCTCCAAGTGGGACAGCATCAAACCTCTGCTGAAGATCCTGCAGGAGTCCTTCCCGTCCTGCATCCACGTCGCTCTCATCATCAAACCGGATAACTTCTGGCAGAAGCAGAGGACCAACTTTGGCAGCTCCAAGTTTGAATTTGAGGTAGGATCGAAATATTCACCGTGGTTTTGTTTTTCCTAATGATTTTCAAGCGTCTGGACTTTTATTAAAGCCCAGTTACAAACATAATCTCTGTTATCTTTAAATAAATTGGATCTATTTTCCAGTAACGTGTTAATAGGAAAAAGAAACCATGGCTGTCAGCTGAGTTGCAATAACAACGACAGTAGCTGCTCCCCACTCGGCTGCTCGTTGTCAGCAGATTTCATTATTTCCCTCTCCGTGCTGATTTGGAGGCTCACATCACCAGCTTTAAAAAGTCTTCAGCCTTAAAACACAGATCACACAAATGAGCATTTGTGATGCCGCCAGTCAAGCATTAAACTCGTTTTCACACTTCGTTTCATTTCAAGTCCCAAAAGCAGGTGTATTTTATGCTCTATTTCATAGACATAAACTGACACCAGAACGAAGACCTGGGACTTCCAAAATAGCAGAAACAGCTGTCATCCCAGTTTGATTAGATTTCTGTTAAAGACGCATCATTAAAGCTCAGGTGGTTTTTACCCTCGTTATTATCTGTTCTAGGATTTTTACACGACTCATCCAACTAAAGCTGTGGGAGTGGACTCATCAGTGTGGAAATGATGTTGATTGCTCACATGTCCTCATGCAAACTGGTTCAATGTAGTCTGATGAGATTGTATCGATTGCTTGATAGAAGAAGTTGCCACTGGGGGGATAGCAATGATCAGGCTCCTCTGCAGTACTGCATGGACATTGATTATATACAGTGTGCACGTACGCTCTAATTAGGATTTGTCAGTGTCAGAAAAATACTCTTGTTTTTTGTTTACAGGTGAAAATCTGAAGCTGACCAAAAAGTTAAACATGGTTGAGGGTCAGCCAACCTTAGGACACATTTATTTAGGCCTGGAGGTAGAAAATGTGATGACATAATAAAATCACAAGATCGCAAAGATGCTTTAAAAAGCTGAATGCTACACAGAAGTGTAACGTTGAAGCTTTGATGACGTCTGAACTTCTAGTTCGCATGAATCCAACCCACAAGTTCAGCTAAAACGGAGAAGACGGACACCAATCTGCAAGGGGGACTGAAATCCCTCGTTACTTAAATAACTTCTGCAAAACCTCTTTTAGATGGCTCCAAGAAAGATTTGGAGGCATTTACGGCAGTTCTGCATCTAGATATATGCTGCAAATGAAGAGACCCTAATAGTCATTCTGTCTTTAAGCATTACTACTTGACTTTGTATCGTGAGGACTTCTTGGCGTGTTTTCTTTTATATCATCATCTCAAGGATTCTCTTCCAGTTTGCTGTAGTGAAAACCCAAAAGGTGCTTCCTTTCTTTGTGAAAAATTCACACTCACTGGAGATCGGAAGCCAAAGCACAGAGAGATGAATCCAATTGTCTTTCAAAAAATCATAGGGTCCAGTGGGAGCAACAAATGCCCAGACTTGCTTTCTATTTACCGAGGTGCTGATCAAATTACTTTGATACCAGCAGCGATCATGGCAGCACCAATAGAGCTGCTGTGATTCTTCACTTAAGAGCAACAGCACAGCTCTGCACAAAGCTCATCGTAGCTCTATCACTTCTTCTCCATCCCTCTCTGGCCATGTGTGTGGGGGTGTTGTGCGGAGGTGGCTCAGCAGAAACACTGAGGCAAGGAGACATTTTCTCTATAATTAATATTGTAACATGCATTTGTTGGAGAGGACCTGAGAATAAATGTTACAATATATTCCATACGCACGAGTGCAGTCACTTCAGCTGTGTGCTGATTGGTTGCTTTTCAAAGATTCATATCGTAGAATCAGCTGGCTTTCACAAGACCATAAACAAGGCTTTAGAGAGTAAGATATTCTAGCAAAAAGGAAGGATTAGATTAGAGCCCTGCAGTGGGATTGGGATCCTGCAGGACCCAACGCAAATCCTGTGGGAGCGGGCGGTTTTGAGGTTGCTTTGGGTCTCGAATTTGCTAGAGAACGGAGAGTGAAACTGAGGTAGCTATCAGAAATAAAGCTGGAGAAAATGAAACTAAGGAAAAGGAAGGAAAATTAGATGTATGACATAGCAAAGGTGTGCCATAGTCAGACTAACTGAACGTATAAACTTTATTTTAGCTAGCCTGTGTAAGGGGCGGTGGGAGCGAGCAGTAACGGTCATTATTTCAGTGGGACTGAAATCAAAAGGGCCGGAGATCAGGTGTACGTCAGTAACAAACAGCCTAAATCTCTCCACTAGACCACCATGGTGTCACTAGAGGGCTTAACAAAAGTCGTGGACCCCTCCCAGCTGACGGCGGACTTTGACGGCAGCCTGGACTACAACCATGAAGAGTGGATAGAGGTGAGCGACTTCCACCTCATCCCTAAAGTACTTATAGTACTAAAGTTTAAATTCAGCAGACTGAAAACACGTCTGATGTGGAAAAATGCCCAGATCTCTGTTCAGGCCTGCTTGTTGTGGTTTCTAGCCCTGGCTTTCCACCAGCCGTGTAACGTAGTAGATGCCTTTTACCCACAAACTCAGCGCGTCCTGTCCTACCAGGTTGGAGACGGGCTACAGCTGCGAATGCATTTCACTTAGCTGTTCAAGAACATGAAATCAGAGAGAATTGCAAGATCAGATGTGATTTTTTTGCTCACGGGATATCAGCATGTATCCAAAAGGGTCATTGGGTTATTTTTTGTTCTTTTTCCCCTGCCGTGGAGGTGTCACAGGTAAGGATATATCGCTTTATTAGTTAGGAAACACGAAATCTGCACGTCTTTTATTTTGAAAGACTCCGGGTGCTAAGCACTGCTCCTGTGTTTGACTTCCTGTCTGGCCTCATCAGAAATGCTGAGCTTGACATATTCTAGAGGTGTAGCATGTAAAAAATAGACCTGGTTAAGTATAAAGCTATAAGCGGTGTCCTGCTCTTCCCAGACGTTACACAAAAATCACGCATCCGGTGGAAAAATGGGGAAGTCGGTATAGCAGAGAAGTTCATTGGCTTTAAGTCAAGTGTTTTGTTCACGGCTTTGATCAGGTACGCGTGGCGTTTGAGGAATTCTCTGGTCACGCCACCCAGATGTTGACTCGACTAGAGGAGATGCAGGAAACGGTGTCGAGGAAAGATTTCCCTCAAGACCTGGAGGGAGCGAGGCGGATGATAGAAGAACACGCTGCACTGAAGAAGAAGATCATCAAAGCTCCTATAGAAGAGCTGGATACTGAAGGGCAGAGGTGAACATCTCCTTTTATCTCACTTTGGGGACAACCTTCTTTGCTGCACCCATTAAAGGTTTTTTAATGCCAGAAGGTCAAAAACTCATCGCTAAATGATTGTTTTACTGAGGGTTTTTTTTGTCCTGCTTTGTCAGATCATATATTTTTAACAAAACTGAAACTTCAGGTCTACATATTGAAACTTAAATGAACCTGCCTGCATTCACCAGACCCAAACAAACGATCTATAATGCAACAGCTGAGTTTCCTTTGACAGTTGAATGTGGAGGACTCTGCACCTGTCAGATCTCAAAATGGAGAGCAGATCAACAAAAAGGCAGGATAGCGAAGTAGAGAGACTCACGCTGAGGCATTTACATTTTCCTTCAATTCGATTCAAGTTTATTTATAAAGCGCCAAATCACGACAAGAGTCGTCTCAAGGCACTTCACATAATAAACATTCCAATTCAGGTCAGTTCATTAAGCCAATCAGAAATAATGTTTCCTATACAGGGTATCCGCGGGTCCTTAAAAAGTCTTAAATTTGCTTTTCCAAATTTAAGGCCTTAAAAATCCTTAAAAATGACAAATAATCCTTAAATACAGTTTCAAAAGGCCCAATAAACAAGATTATTTTATTCCTATAAAATTTTCGTGAATTTCTAGTTAGTCTTCAGCATTTTTTGTGTATGATGTTGGTGTAAGCGGAACCGTGCACGTTCAGTTGGTTGTGAAAAGGGGGCTATTTTTAGATGAGCACATTAGCTGGTTAAGCTAGTGGGAGCTTGCGCCATGGGGAAGTGCAACTTTAATGGTAACTGGATGGCTAATCCCACGTTCGTGACGTGGTTAGCACCGGTTCCAGGCAATAGCTGGAAATTATAGCTTAAATTAAATTTAAAAAATAGCTTAAATTTGGTCAAAGTGGCCTTAAAAAGGTCTTAAAAAGTCTTAAATTTGGCTCCCTTACACCTGCAGATACCCTGCTATATAAGGAACCCAGCAAATTGCATCAAGTCACTGACTAGTGTCAGTGACTTTACAGCAATCCTCATACTAAGCAAGCATAAAGCAACAGTGGAGAGGAAAAGTCCCTTTTAACAGGAAGAAACCTCCAGAGGATCCTGGCTCAGTACAAGCAGCCATCCTCCACGACTCACTGGGGATCGAGAAGACAGAACACACACACACACACACACACCCACACACACGCGCACACACACACACACACTGGTCTGAATGTTGGTTTTATGTTGATTAGACCCAAGTGTGCTGCTTCTTTAGTGAAGTTTGCACTTACTGCTGATCCACTAACAGGATCAATTGATAATATTGTTAGAAACCTAGATTCCTGGTGTTCCTGTAGATGTCACCGTGGTGGGAATCACCCACCTGATTAATGAGGCTGATCTCACTTGTTAATATGCTACATATCAGGATTTGGAGTTTGCTGTGTTTTTAACAGTGTTTATTATTAGTAAAGAGATATTTTTCAAAGTGTAATTAAAGGAAGAATCTTTCTGGGGCTTTTCTAAATTTAGTTCCTAAGAGCCAGAAAGTACCAGAAATGTGAGACATCGTCCCCCCCCCCCCCCCACCCCCCACCCTCATTCTCTGACAGCAGTGCCATGTAAAGGTTTTATAAAGTTACTATTACACCTGTTTTTAGGTTGCTCCAGCGCATCCAGAGCAGCGAGTCCTTCAATCGCAATGGCAGCAGCAGCGGTGGAGGCAGCAGCAGCAACGCCGACACTCAGGGTCTGGCGCCTCGGATCACGCAGCTGCAGGACAAGCTGCACTCCACCCGGCAGCATCTGCACCAGACCTGGCATGTCCGCAAGCTCCAGCTGGATCAGTGCTTCCAGCTCCGCCTGTTTGAACAGGATGCAGAGAAGGTGTGTACATGTTGGGAGTCAGGATACTGTCCAGTGTGAGCTGTGATGTAGAGGTAATCCATAACCACAGCTGGTGACCAATGTGGGGCAGACGACGGTCAATAGTAAAACTTAATTACAACCACAAAGAGGCATTGATTGATGCTGTTTGTGGAGATCACATGAACTCATTTTCTTTTTACTTGGACCCTTAAACAGTGCATTAAACTTTATGACAGAAAGTTAAAAAGGAAACAGCTTCATCCTCCTCAGCATCCCAGAAAAGTGTCAGATGGATGGAGGATAACTTATGCGGGTGCACGGCTGCCACCCAGACAGCTCACGCGGTGACAGCTGCAGCACCAAATGGAAAGAGACAAGGAGAGAAATTCAGAGATCCATGTTGGAGTGAGGAGAATAGAATAGCAGGCTGCAGCAACGGGGGGAGTGCTGCGGTCTTGGATGCACTGCAGTAGTAGGAGCTTGTTGCTAGGACACCATGGGCCACAAGTTGTTCTCCAGGAGAGCATGAGAGGATACTCTTAATAGAGGCAGTCCATTTCTCTGTTTCCTGGCCTGGAGAGATGACAGCTTTGGGACCACTGCAGCGCACGCACACACACACACACACACGTTTACCCACATGGCTGAGTCCCAGCTGTGGTTTTGGACCTGCTCATGCAGTAACCCGAAGGTGTTACTGATGAGCTCATACTTGTGTTTGTGCATGTATTTATGATGCAAGCTAACTCTCATTTTTTCTCTCTCTTCCCTGTGTGTGTGTGTGTGTGTGTGTGTGTGTGTGTGTGTGTGTGTGTGTGTGTGTGTGTGTGTGTGTGTGTGTGTGTGTGTGTGTGTGTGTGTGTGTGTGTGTGTATCTGTTTTGACATCCTCCCACCTCAGATGTTTGACTGGATCATGCACAACAAGAGTTTGTTTCTGGCAGGCTACACAGATATTGGCAACAACCACCCCCACGCTGTAGAGCTGCAAACCCAGCACAACCACTTTGCTATGAACTGCATGGTAAGGCACACACACACACACACACACACACACACACACACACAGATGTGCAGCTGAAGGTAATGGTTTTTCCACCCACTTGGACTTGAGTCCATGCCCCCAAACAGAATAATCATATATGTATTGCACTCAGCTTCCACCTCTAGTTTTGTTTGTTTGTTTGTTTGTAGCTTCGCTGCACATTTTCTACATAATGACAGCAACACAACTAGGTATTAATAATCTTTTCTCTATCCTTACATAACTATTATGAAACTGTAGAGACAAGTAATTCAGATTAGCTCTGGATTGTTTCTGGACATAATGAAGGCACACCGGCTGATCGGTTCACTTCACACTCTTGGATCTACTGCAGTTTGTTTCCTAAATCAGATGTTTGTTACAAATTCACTGTTCATTTTTATCTGGACCCTGCTGTTAGAAAATTATGGATTTGTTTATTTTTTCTGTTCTACAGAGAAATGTAATTTTAATTTTAAATGTATTTGTTTTGAATAGTTTCAGAAAATTTTTTGTGGACTTTTTCAAAATAATGTTTGTTTTTTATGTTTATCATATCCTGCTAATCCCAACAAGCTCGGTGAAATTTCTAAAAGTAAATTGATCAAAAGTTCAGGTTGGGGCTGACCGTGATTTCATAACAGTATGCATCTATCGATAGACTTCTGGTGCGATACGGGAAAAAAGGGTCGATAAAAAGTTCTGTCTTCAATTCTGTCATGTATCTTAATACTAGAGTTGATCCATGTTGAACCAATCATGAGGCTGGATCAGAGCCATGCAGACAGGACAGTAGTAACCAGATGTGCTAATGCTAATGCAAGCAACAGAGGAGGAAAATATTAGTGCCTGAAAGAAAGAAAAAACAACCAGAGGCGGAACGAATTACATCACTGAGGATAAAAGCCTGAAAGGTTCCCTGGTTCTTGAATTTGGACAAGAAAAGTGGAGTGGGCTCCGATTATAGAATCGACACCCCTAAAACATCCATTTTAACTCCACCTTTTTGTCATTGTGACGTGCCACACAGAACGTGTACGTGAACATCAACCGGATCGTGTCGGTGGGCAGCCGGCTGCTGGAGTCGGGTCACTACGCCTCTCAGCAGATCAAGCAGATCTCAGGCCAGCTGGAGCAGGAGTGGAAGGCCTTCGCCGCTGCACTGGAAGAGCGAAGCACGCTGTTGGAGATGTCTGCCAGTTTCCACCAGAAATGTGACCAGGTAATCCCACCAGACCAGCAGCACTTCTCCATCTTGGAGGAAACATTTAATGTCCACAGATGAGATGGCACCTAGAGCTTCAGAAGTATCTCATTATGCTGCATCAACACATTCAGACCCATAAAGCTGAGACTAACCCAACATTTGGTTGTTTAGGTGTTTCCATGTTTGGCTCAGGCACCGCTGCATTGATGGTGACAGCTGGAGCTCACAGAAAGCACACATGTTTATGAAACATGCAAGAAACCATGAAGCTAAATATAGAACCACAGCAATGAAGCAAGGAGACATAATCAGATGCTTCATGTAGCAAAACACAAATCATGGAAATAAAATGTTTGTTTGTTTTTTTATTTAAGAAAAGGAAAAGTTATTTCTTGAAGGAAGGCACATCGCCGCCCACCTATTAGTATTTAGATTATGTGTTATAAAGTACTCAGTTAATATATATTTATATAAATCTGGTAATGAAGAGAATGTTGTGCTCTGCTTTGCTATAAAATGGCCTGTATTTGATATAGCGCCTTCTAGAGTCCTGGAAGCCCCCAAGGCGCTTTACAACACAATCAGGGTCCGAAATTAAATTTTTTACTCACCGGCCAAGTTGGCCGGTAGATTATGAAAATCTACTGGCCAAGCATATCTTTTACCGGCCAAAATCCTAAATGATTTAGATCTACCTAAAGCATGTTATTCTATATTATGTTGATTCCAAACAGAGTGACAAAATAATTAAAACATCAATTAATAAGAAAAACAACTCTTTTGTCATTTTTACTATGTATTTATTTTTAGAGATGTTTTTATGAACTCTTTCATTGAAATCTAGTCAGACTCCTTGTTTTTCTCTGTCCATGAAGTTTGGCCTCCTGCTTCTGACACCGTCTTCGTGCCAAAGCATCACAGCCTCATTTGGGTCACAGTCCTTGATCTCCGGAGAACACAGCTGCACCATGAGAATATCTGAAAGTGTGTCAGGGCTAGGGTTGTCACGGTAACCGGTGTAGCAGTAAACCCCGGTAAAAAAGTTGACAATAATAATAACCGTCTTGTTTTTAAAAAATATATATATTATCTCGGTGAGTTTACCGTGGCTGCGGTGTAGGCGCGGTGACCCTTACCAGCCACCGTATCATCTGCTGAAGTTGCCGGCGGCACATGCGCACTTTAGCACTCGGGACATTTATTATCCCTCAAAGAAGGAAGTACGGGCATTTTTTGGATATTTGAAGAATGCCGAGGGACAGTTGATAGAAGACGGCTGTCCTGTTTAAAGCACGAACAGAAAAAGTGTCTGAAAGGCAGCAACGCTACGTGGCCATCATAATGTAGCCATTGTCTCACGACTCCGCCATCTCCAGTTCGCCACTTTTCACAAAATCTTCTGGTTGCCACTGGTCCTGGTGGTTTTTCTTCCAGTTCGACGAGTTTTCTTTTGGAAGGCTGGCTGACTCCAGTTAAAAACCACCACATTTCACCGCTAGTTTTAACACGAAGCTAACTGCTAACTTGATAAACTGATTGAATGGGGTAGGTGGAAATGACGTTGGATGCGGCGCTCACGTTTCGCGTACGTTTGTGTACGTTGCATGCAGGTGGGAGGAGTATCAGAAATCCATGGAAGATGACTGATAAACATAACTCATTTGGTGCAAACATTTACTCACCAGGTGGAGCAATTTGCTCGCATTTGGCGAGTAGGGAGTGTTAATTTCGGACCCTGAACACAATCAGTCATTCACCCGTTCACCCATTCACACACTGGTGCTATGATGTAGCCACATCTGTCCTGGGGCGCACTGACAGAGGCGAGGCTGCCGAGCACTGGCACCACCGGTCCCTCCGACCACCATCAGCAGGCAAGGGGGGTTAAGTGTCTTGCCCAAGGACACAACGACAGCGACTGACTGAGCGGTGCTCGAACCTGCAACCTTCCGATTACGGGGCGAGCGCTTAACTCCTGTGCCACCGTTGCTCCTATACCTGCTGAACACGAGCCTCCTGATCAGAGCAGCGCCTTCTGACAGCGTGTGTTTGTCTTCTTGTGCAGTACATGAGCAATGTGGACTCTTGGTGCAAGGCATGTGGCGAGGTGGATTTACCCTCTGAGCTGCAAGACCTGGAAGATGCAATCCACCACCATCAAGGCCTGTATGAACACATCACTGCTGCCTACTCCGAGGTAAGCCGACACCAGGAGTTTGACTGCTGCCAACACGTACTTACAGTAAATAATCGCACTGCAATTTAGTCATGAGTAAAAATGTTTCTTTAGGTGAGCCAAGATGGAAAAGCCCTGTTAGACAAGCTTCAACGACCTTTGACCCCAGGCAGTGCAGACTCCTTGACAGCATCGGCAAACTACTCCAAGGCTGTGCACCACGTCTTGGACATCATCCACGAGGTGCTACATCATCAGAGGCAGCTGGAAAACATCTGGCAGCACCGGAAAGTGCGTCTGCACCAGCGCTTGCAGCTCTGCGTCTTCCAGCAGGACGTCCAGCAGGTCCACACCTTCTGAATTCGGCTCACTCTTTACTGCTAAACTGCAACTTTAGGGTCTTTTTTATTAAGGTTTCCTCTATGAAACACAAGCATATGGTGGCTGTTTGGAAATAGCAGTTTAGCTTGGTGGTGGAAGAGCTCCTGAGACGCTAGTTTGTAGACAGATGTGTTTCATTTGAATATGAAAAGTAAGTCGCCTGTGCAGAGTTCAGTTGTTACAAATGCCACAGAGCCAGCTGAGCTTCTGCTGAGTGGATTATTACAATAACACTGCAACTGTCCAAAAATGTATGGGTATCACTGAGTGTGTTAACATGGCAACTGTTGCTGTGGTAACCGAACTGGGTCATATGTCCGTGCAGATGGTGTTAATCTATTCATGCCATGAAAGGCAAAGTGCAGAAAAGACGGCGTGTGAAGGCAGGCTCAGTGAAAGGCATCCCATAATATCAAACGTCATATATGTCACCACTTTGCTTTCATGCTGTTTTTATTCCCCACCAACTCCTGAGTCACGTCTTCCACCACAGTGCGCCCCCTGGTGGTGGTTTCACCTCCTGTTTGGTCTTTTGTCTCAGGTCTTGGACTGGATAGAAAACCACGGCGAGGCCTTTCTCAGCAAACACACAGGTGTGGGAAAGTCCCTCCATCGAGCGCGAGCGCTCCAGAAACGCCACGAGGACTTTGAGGAAGTGGCTCAGGTTTGTTATCTCTCTCTCTCTGTAAGGTTAGCCTGTACTCTGTTAGCACCCTTATGTCCCCGTGTGTCTCACTCTCTGTGCAGAACACGTACACCAATGCAGACAAGCTCCTGGAGGCGGCCGAGCAGCTGGCCCAGACGGGAGAGTGTGACCCAGAGGAGATCTACCAGGCCGCCCACCAGCTCGAAGACAGGATCCAAGACTTTGTTCGCCGCGTTGAGCAGCGCAAAGTCCTGCTGGACATGTCTGTCGCCTTCCACACGCACGTCAAAGAGGTAGGTGGGGAGGGGGCTGACGTAAGGGTGGAGGAGGAAAGCTTTCACAGACTTGTTGTGCATCGGCCGATTAATCACCAGATGAAACGAGGAGCGGTGTGAGCACTCAAAGAAACTAGAGATGTCATTAAGTAACTGCAGTGCTGAGTCACACGGTCCAACAGTAAACCCCCCCCCCCCCCCTCCATCAGAACACCTGAATGTAAAAACCTGACAGCTCTCCTTTTCTTCCTCCAGCTGTGGACGTGGCTGGAGGATCTCCAGAAGGAGCTGCTGGACGACGTTTACGCCGAGTCAGTGGAAGCTGTGCAGGATCTGATCAAACGCTTCGGCCAGCAGCAGCAGACCACGCTGCAGGTCACGGTCAACGTCATCAAGGAGGGGGAGGACCTGATCCAGCAGCTCAGGTAGAGAGTTCACCTCAGGGTTCTGTCTCTAAAACAAATGAAGTTAAACACTGCAAACAGAAGAAAAGCTATGTTTCTATTTGTTTTATGTGGATTTAAATGGAAATAGAATTAAAGATGCAGTGACAAGGCCCATGTGTAATTTAGAGGACCTTAATGAGACGCATGAAAACTAAAATTGGAAAGCTGCTGGGATGAGAGGAGGTGTGGGAGAGGTGTATCCAGCTGACCTGCTTTATTTTTACTCGGAGCATGTTCCAGTGCCTCTGCTCCTCCGCTCCACCCTCTTCTCGGTGGTATTGGCACCTCGGTGGATTCTTACATAAGAACTTTTATAAGTGTCTTTAATTGTGTCTCTCTGGGAGGAAACACAGTAACTCTGCACACCTTCTGCTTGTGTGAAGAAACAGTCTACATACGTGTGTGTGGGGGGGGGGGGGATCTGTCTCACTGATTACTGTACCTGGAGCAAATCATGAGTCCACCCACCTTCACTTGTCTGCTCTAACTCAGTAACTGTCTTACATCGGATTGCCGATGTGTGTGTGCCTCTGATAGATCATTGAGTAAAACTCAGAACACACCGCTTTTTGCTTTAATGGAGGTTCTATGATTTGAATCCATCAAAGAACAATGATTAAGCTGAAGAGTTTGTGGCTGCTGTTGCAGGTAATTTGATTTAGTAAAGTACTGAAAATAAAATAATAAATAACAGATAACTTGAGACTGAAGTTTATCCAACAAATGGTGTAAAAATCCGTAGAACAAAATGATTTTGTCTTATTTATTTTTGTCGTTCTCCTGCGTGTTTTAACCTGCTGCAGGCTTTACTGCATTTAAAACAGCTGGCTTGGTGCCAGGCATTACCGTTGTAGATGTGTTTTCTCAAAAGTACACAGCTCTGCTTCCCACAGCTTATTGCCTAATTGTGTGTGTGTGTGTGTGTGTGTGTGTGTGTGTGTGTGTGTGTGTGTGTGTGTGTGTGTGTGTGTGTGTGTGTGTGTGTGTGTGTGTGTGTGTGTGTGTGTGTGTATTTTACTTCAGGGACTCTGCCATCTCCAGCAACAAGACGCCCCACAACAGCTCCATCAACCACATTGAGAGTGTCCTCCAGCAGCTGGACGAGGCCCAGGCGCAGATGGAGGAGCTCTTCCAGGAGAGGAAGATCAAACTGGAGCTCTTCTTGCAGCTCCGCATCTTTGAGAGAGACGCCATTGATGTGAGTTTTCAGAGAGATGGTTATCCACAGAACATAAAAGCGATGGATTTAGCCACAGTGACGTAGGACTATGGTTCAATACTTTCTGCTTAAGGGAGTGCATTACTAGTTTAATCAACACATTTGTAGTGGTCACTAGTGAGAATGAATGCCTTGTAAATAATTCTCAGGGGAAGAAATATACCAGTGCACAATTTCTCTGACCTTTAAGTTGCCCACATCACAGCCGAGCTTCAGATGTCAGATTGTTTTGGTCTTATTTCCTGATATTTGGACATCTCGCCTCTGATTGGATAACAGCAACGCAACTCTACCACTGACTTGCAACGTGGATGTTTTATCTCCTCAAATATCGCAAGACTGGAGGAGCTTCTGCTGTGAGGTGATGTTGCTAATGCTAGCAGTTAGCTTCTACTAGGCGAAAAGGTTTTTGCTGCTTGCTGGACATTAAAACAACAACCTTCCCAGCTGTCAAGTCGATTGCTGAGTCCATGAATGATAATTTACAGTGTGACATAGATCTGTCGGGATTTTCAAAATCTATAGGTGTAGGAGACTATTTTCATGTTCATCCTGCATAAAACACTCAGAGTGACCGATTATCATCAGAAAAAAACATTTAAAAATAGTTTTTTCAGTCAACCGCACCTTTAAGGGTTTAAAGATTTATAAAATATTCAAAGTTGCATCCTAGTATCTAAATCCTCTGATACCGAATGACTTTTTGTCCCCATGATGCTGTTTACATAAACATTATTATGTTATTCCTCAGATCATCACTGACCTGGAGTCCTGGAACGAAGAGCTGACGGGTCAGATGAACGATTTCAACACGGAGGACCTGACGCTGGCCGAGCAGAGGCTGCAGCACCACGCTGACAAGGCCCTCACCATGAACAACCTCACCTTCGACGTCATCCACCAGGGACAGGAGCTGCTGCAGTATGTTAACGAAGTCCTGGCATCTGGTGAGTTACCGTCCTCAGCTGACACACAGTAGAGACGATATGAAGAAGACTGGACTAATCAGGAATGCTTTTAGTTCAGTGTGGCCGTCACCAGTCAGAATCGGATAAAAACGTTTGGTGCTGCTGCACATTTCTGTGTCGGCTACGTTAGTTTGTCTGTGTAGGTGTCTTGGGTCGTTCCAGCCAGAGCTTGTGATGAAAGGCTCCCACTCACTAACCATAATAACTCACCTGTGAACCCAGATGCTAATGAGTGCTCTGTTCAACCACACGAGTAGTGGTTATGTCAGGCAACGTGCACGGACACAGAAGTTATCAACATGGAGATGAATGAAATGGGAAATTAAACCCAAAAAAGGAAAAGAATATTAGACATTATGTCAAATTTTCATCCAGTGGTGATGCAGTTGTTTGTTTTCTCTGTAGGTGTGGAGTTGCTGTGTGACCGGGACGTTGACATGGCGACTCGGGTCCAGGACTTGCTGGAGTTTCTTCATGAAAAGCAGCAAGAGTTGGACCTGGCAGCTGAACAGCACCGGAGACACCTGGAGCAGTGTGTCCAACTGAGACACTTGCAGGCTGAAGTCAAGCAGGTGGGACTGAATCAGATGTGCATCCAGCTGCCATCTGCAGGTGGAACACACTACCTGCATGGTTTTGCACAGACTGAAATAAAGTTCTCATTCATCCAGGTTCTGGGTTGGATTCGCAACGGTGAGTCGATGCTGAACGCTGGTCTGATCACAGCCAGCTCCCTGCAGGAGGCCGAGCAGTTGCAGAGGGAACACGAACAGTTTCAGCACGCCATCGAGGTCTTTTATTTTATTTTTTTTACCCCAAACTTCCTTTTATTTGTTGTTCTGCTTCAAGGTTCAAGCTGGATGTTAGCTTTTTTTTTCTCTCCTTCTTGTAGAAAACCCACCAGAGTGCCCTCCAGGTCCAACAAAAGGCAGAGGCTCTGCTCCAGGCCAACCATTATGACATGGACCTGATTAGAGACTGTGCAGAGAAGGTAGCATCTCACTGGCAGCAGCTGATGCTGAAGATGGAGGACCGGCTCAAACTGGTCAACGCCTCTGTGGCCTTCTACAAAACCTCTGAACAGGTGGAGAAGAATCAGCCTCACTGGATACAAGCAGTTACTCAGAAACACACATCTGAGTGAGTGTGTGTGTTTCTGTTCAGGTGTGCAGCGTGCTGGAGAGCCTGGAGCAGGAATACAAGAGAGAGGAGGACTGGTGTGGAGGAGCGGACAAACTGGGACCCAACTGTGAAACCGACCACGTCACCCCCATGATCAGTAAGCACCTGGAGCAGAAGGAGGCTTTCCTCAAGGTAACTGACGCGCTCAAAGTCAGGGGTCAACTATGAGCTACTCATCTGATTCGAGTGTGTGTGTGTGTGTGTGTGTGTGTTGTTGTTTCAGGCGTGCACCCTGGCCAGAAGGAACGCAGACGTCTTCCTAAAGTACATGCACAGAAACAGCGTCAACATGCCGGGCATGCTGAGCCACGTCAAGGCTCCAGAGCAGCAGGTTAAAAGTGAGTCCGATCGTATGACGGAAATCTGGGAATGCGCGTTCCGTTTGAATACAACAGCAGCCGAGGATTCCTACAGATGAATTAAACAGATGTGCAAGCAGGTTGCAGGTTCACCGCCTGGCTGCAAGCTAGTTCTCAAGTTGGAGGTGGAGAAAATGAAAGATTTTAATGTGTGTGTGCGTGTGTTTAGACATCCTCAATGAGCTGTTGCAGAGAGAGAATCGGGTTCTCCACTTCTGGACGATGAGGAAGCGGCGGCTGGACCAGTGTCAGCAGTACGTGGTGTTTGAGCGCAGCGCCAAACAGGTACACCAAACACACAGTTCAGCTCAGGGCAAGAAAAGGTTGTGTTTGGTTGGAAGAACAGATATAAAAACAGAAAACACCATGTGTGTGTGTGTGTGTGTGTGTGAAGGCTTTGGAGTGGATTCATGACACCGGAGAGTTCTACTTGTCCACACACACGTCCACCGGCTCCAGCATCCATCACACACAGGAACTCCTGAAGGAGCATGAGGATTTCCACATCACAGCCAAGGTTGGGTTCTCACGAGCAGATCCGTTCATGTGGCTTCGTGTTGGAGCGATCTCCAGACTCACTCTGCTCTCCTCCTGCAGCAAACCAAGGAGCGTGTGAAGCTGCTGATCCAGCTGGCTGACGGTTTCTGTGAGAAAGGCCACAGCCACGCTGCAGACATCAAGAAATGGGTAACGGCCGTTGACAAGCGTTACAGAGACTTCTCTTTACGAATGGACAAGTACCGCTGCAGCCTGGAGAAAGCTCTGGGCATCCCCTCTGACTCCAACAAAGCTGTAAGCCTCGTTCGCTCATGCACAACCCTGCTGTCACACTTCGTCTCCTGAGAGACTTTCTTTGTCTGTCAGAGTAAAGATCTTCAGCTGGACATCATCCCAGCCATGGCTCCCGGGTCAGAGGTCAAACTGAGAGATGCAGCTGCTCATGAGCTGAATGAGGAGAAACGCAAGTCGGCGCGCAGGAAGGAGTATGTGTTGACTTCCTGTTTCACGCTTCTAATGTCAGGAAATGTTTCACCAACCCTCAGGTTTTAAAATGATTTTGTTGCGAGTTTACAGCTGCTATTAAAACGGTTCTGTGTTCACATAGATTAGATTGTAGTGATTTAAACATCTGTATCTACTCCGCTGTGGCAGCTTCACTAGAGACCCAACAGCAGCACGCAGGAAGCGGAGGCTGTGTGGTTTTTTATGAGCTCCACAAATCAGCAGCAGGATATCAGTCCGCTTTATGGCCTTTTCATTATTCACTAGTGTGATTGGATGAAGCTGACAGGCGAAGGAGCCTTTGTCATGCAGATTATTCACGGAGTGAACAAGGACAGGACGACAGCTGCCAATTTGTTCATGTTTGTATTTTTCTGTGTCTAGGTTCATCATGGCGGAGCTGATTCAGACTGAAAAGGCCTACGTGCGAGACCTGCGGGAGTGCATGGATGTAAGATCAGCCCGATGAATCCGTTTGAGTCTGTTTAGTCATTTTGGTGGATTTTGTGTTTTCATTTAATTTTGCTTTCCTGTGCAGACGTACCTGTGGGAGATGACCAGTGGAGTCGAGGAGATTCCTCCTGGAATCATCAACAAGGAGCACGTCATCTTTGGAAACATGCCGGACCTCTACGAGTTCCATCACAAGTAGGAAACGCGTCGCGGCGATTACTTTATGATTTACGTAAAGTAGGACCAGTAAAAATTCTGATTCTGATACCATCAAACATCCTCCACCTCTCACCGCCGTGGACGGTATTACCGCGACTCACTGGAAAGGATGAAGTTTGCGTTGCCAAACTTTTGGCTCGGGCCTTCACAATTCAGAAACTGAATTCCAAACACTAATACCGAAACCATAACAACATAACACACATAATACTAACAACTTTTATTACTAAGAAACATTGCTTATAGAAAGTGCAAAGACAACAGTCGAACTGCATTAAAGTCACAGCCTGAACAGCTTTAAACGACATCTAAAAGTGCAAACAGTCAGCCATGTTTGAATAAACATAAAGAGTCACATTAGAATCGTTGTTGCAACCGAAACAATTACATTAAAATACTAAAAGGAAAAACGTACAGTAACAATAGGAACTGTATGGGAAGTTGCAGCAAATCCAGTAAAACCAGCAAGTTAAATCTTCTGGCTTGAACGTCGCTCACTGTGGGCTGACTCTACCTCTGTACTGAAAACCTGCACCAACAAACACACAGGTACTTTCTGGCCAGTGGTGACATCTGGGGAAGATGACTGTCAGCACATTTTCACTGGAGAAGTCGGTCCTCATCTCCTTAGCAGTAGGCTGTTATTTCAGCTCCGGTCTGCACCTGCAGAATCTGCTGCTGCAGCAGGTCATCTCTTCAGGAGCATTCCCAGAGACATCTTTTTTTCTTGGTGGTTTGGGTTGTGCCTCTTCCTCTCCGAGTGCTGGTGCTGCTTGCTGCTCTAATCTCACAATCTCAGCTTTGATTTCAACCAGTGCATTGTCATCAATCCTCCGTGGCAACGAGGGCTGATGAAAGTGCACTTTTGAATTAATGTATGCACTAAATCAGATTCATACTTGGTCTCCAGCCTGTTTAGAGTTTCAATTGAGATTGGCTTTATTAGCTGGATGTTGTTTTCCTACACAGCCAACACACGGACCCTGCAGAGCTGGAGTATGGGGAGGATAGAGGAACTGGTCACATAATCTTCCCCTGACAAGTTATCAGTAATTCACCAACAGGTTCCAGTGTGTCCTACGTTGCCGGCTGTATGAAAATGCCCTGATAATACTGCGGCGTGGTCCGAAGGCGCTCAGTTTTTTGCTTCTCATAATGCAATGCATTTGTTACCGCCAACGTTAGATTGTGACTGAAGCAGTTAGGCCACGGCCCCTGCAGGAACCTGACTGCAGCGTCGTCTGTGGTTATGGCCGGAAGGGCTTCCTTGTTAAGTTGCCGGTCCTGAAGGGCAGATTTGAGCGCAGCAGCAAGATTATGACTCTCAGGAAAATACGTGTTTATTTTTCAAGCAGACGTCTATGCGCTGGTTATAGAAAAGAATCGCCCACCTTTAAAGACTTTGTTTTTCCCTTTATGTTCTACAATGATCTTTACTTATCCAACACTACCTTTAACATCCAACTGAAAAATATCACAATTACAGTTCAGGCTGAAATCGATAAATACTGAAATTAATAAAGGATCACTCCCAGTGTCCGTATTAAGTTAATCCACCTTGTGCCTCAATGCCAGCCTTGAGTCTGTTGGGAAACTTCTCTATCACCTTTACACCTGAAGGATGTGATGTCGACTCACTCTTCTTTACAGCACTCTAAAAGTTTGGTCAGATTGGGTGGTGGGTGTTGGTGGCCTGCCATCTTCAGGTCTCTCCAGAGAGTGGGATTTAAGTCTGGGACCCTTGTGGACGCAGACTTTTTTTCTCCTTCAGCCACTGAGTGGTCAGCTTTGCTGTGTGCTTCAGATTGTTGTGATGGTGAAAGGGGAACCCGCTGCCCTTCAGCTTTCTGGCAGAGGGTAGCAGGTTTCCCTCAAGAATTTGACAGCATTTTGCCCCATCCATGTTTCCTCATACCCCAACGACATCTTACAAGATGCAGCCACCTCCGTGCTTTACTGTAGGTATGATGTGTTTGATCTACACCAGGTGTACCAATTAGTGTTGAGACCAATTAGTTTAATGTAGGTCTCATCTGACCGTAAGACCTGTTTAATACGGCGTCAGAATCTTCAAGGAGGATTCTGCCAAAGCTTTGATGTGGCCTTTCTTGAGTAGTGGCTTTTTCCTTGTGACCTTGATTAATATCAGTATTTATTTTCTGTTTGTATTTTAATCTTTGTAACCTTGGTATTTTGTAATGAATGCTGTCGGCTGTAAGAGGTATTTTTCTTTGTTTCCATTTAAGGCCGCAAAGCAAAAAGACTCAAGTCTTTCAAAGGGCCACACAACTTAATAACACTTATATTCAGAACATTGCGAACATTAACTTAAATTTTCACATCAAAAGTATTTAAAAGAACCCGTTTTTGCTATAACTGCTATTTTAATCTGACTTTTCTTGTTTCTTTAGCATTTTTCTCAAAGAGTTGGAGAAATACGAGCAGCTGCCCGAGGATGTGGGACATTGTTTTGTCACATGGGTATGTGTCATTCTCACACACACACACACACACACACACACACACACACACACACACACACACACACACACACACACACACACACACACACACTGTGCTTTATTTAGCTACACACACACACACACACACACAGTGCTTTATTTAGCTACTTTTGGAGTTTAGACTAGAGATGTTTGTGTTGACGTGATCTTGTCCTCTGGGCTCCTTTAAGGCTGATAAGTTCCAGATGTATGTGAACTACTGTAAAAACAAACCGGACTCCACGCAGCTGATACTGGAACATGCAGGGAACTACTTTGATGTGAGTACCACCTTTAGTCATGAAAGTGAAACTGGGTCGGGTCATCTGTAGGATCATCGTGTGTGTGTGTGTGTGTGTGTGACAGGAAATCCAACAACGACACAGGCTGGCCAACTCCATCTCCTCTTATCTGATCAAACCAGTGCAGAGAATCACCAAGTATCAGCTCCTGCTGAAGGTAACCCACCACACCTGTTGGTTATAGTCTCTGTTGTGCCTGTTGTCATGGTTACCGCGTGTGTGCACGTGTTAAGGAACTGCTGACGTGCTGTGAAGAAGGTAAAGGAGAGATCAAGGATGGACTTGAAGTGATGCTCAGTGTTCCTAAGCGAGCCAACGATGCCATGCATCTCTCCATGCTGGAAGGTGAGCAGCGCTGCTGGTTGATGTTTTGTGTCAGAAGGTCACCTGGCCAGGCAATGTTCTCCTACACCTCATCTTCTAATGTGCCATTCTGTTCTCCCTCCAGGGTTTGATGAAAACATTGAGTCTCAGGGGGAGCTCATCCTCCAGGACTCATTCCAGGTCTGGGATCCAAAGACTTTGATCCGTAAGGGTCGAGAGCGACACCTCTTCCTGTTTGAGATGTCTCTGGTCTTCAGCAAGGAGGTGAAGGACTCAAACGGCAGGAGCAAATACATCTATAAGAGCAAACTCTTTGTAAGTACATTGGGACGTGTCTTTCTCTACATCCAGTTAAAATGTTGAAAGCATGAACCACCATGCTCTAAAGTCGTAGCAATGAGGAGATTTTTCAATATCTAAAAACTGTACTTTAGTCCGCAGCTGCGTGTCAACATCAGACCTCAGCAGATACCTCAGTTGGATTAGGGGATGTAGAAAACGGTACCAACATTCCTAATATCTTCTGTTCCCAGACCTCTGAGTTGGGAGTAACGGAGCATGTTGAGGGAGATCCGTGTAAGTTTGCTCTGTGGGTGGGACGAACCCCGACGTCTGACAACAAGATTGTGCTCAAGGTAAAATAAATCAATGACTCCCTCTCCTTTTCTGGGTTAAATTCCTTCTGGGTTGGACCAATATTGTTTCCTGCATCTGAAGTAAAAATGTATGAGAATATTTTAGAGAAGTATGGAATCAGTCCTATGAAGCCAAAAACAAAACGGGTTAAATTTGGAGTCAGGTTGGATTAACCCTCCCACCGTCCTTATGGGTGTGAACCCGTGAGGAAAGTTGACCATAGAGCAGGGTTGATGGTTTATCTCTGAGGTCCACGTGGCGGGGGTGAGGTGGTGCTCACCCCTCACCCCCGCCACGTGGAGCCGAGGGATAAACCATCAACCCTGCTCTATGGTCAACTTTCCTCACGGGTTCACACCCATAAGGACGGTGGGAGGGTTAAAGTGTCTGCTAAAAGCACGCCACCCACAGACTCTTATTCTGAAGGTCTGCTGTGGTTTAAAGGCTCTATAATGGATGTGGATCCACTACTGGAACGTTGTGTAATGAGAGATGGTTTTATTCTGTTGGTGCGTTTGGCAGAAGCTTTTACGAGGCAGTAAGGACAGACCAGCAGCGTGAGCTGGGATCGAACCACAGAATGATTGTTTGATAATCATATTTAAGACTTCTGGATTGGTCTGACTCAGCTGGATTCAGTGAATTTTATTTAAACTTCTGCATCCCCTCCTTTGCTTCCACCCCCTCTCCCCTGGTGTCTGGTTTGACTTCACCAGTTCTAGACCTTTTTTAGCCTCTTCTGTCTTCTTCCTTTGCTCCTCCTCCTCTGTCCTCTGCCAGCCTGCGTCCTCTGGTCAGATGCTGCTTTGTTCCATTTGTTAACGAACTCGCGGACACGTCTGTGTATCTGGGGCTGTGTTCTTTGTGGATGTTTGTATTTCTAACTCTGTGTGGGCTGAGATGTTTCCACCAACGCTGGTGACACTCTGTGAGTTCATGAACACCCACAGACCTCCATCTTGGCTCTCTGCCGCTGGAGCCTGAAAAAACTGTTTCAGTCACTTAAAGACGAATGTGTGTGTGTGTTTTCTGTTGAACTCACAGACTGATTAAAGTTTGTCAGCTGTTGGAGCAGCATGAAGCTGAGATCCTAACACCTCCAATACTCGGTGTCAGCTCCTTTATACATGTCGATAAGTAAACTAACCACTGAGCAGCACTCATGCATTATGTGCACTGTAATTGTCTCTCATTACTAACACCACACACACACACACAGACTTAATTGGCTGTCATTACGGTGTCGAGGCAAATTATCATCGTTATCATGTCAAACCATTTCTTTTTGTCAGAATATAAAAATGTTTTATTTATCTTTTAAATCCAAACCAGTGAAATTCTCTATTTTATATTTTAAATTCAAAGCTAAGTCAGGGATCCAAACATGGAGCAACGGTGAGTACAAACTGTTCCACGACACAGCCCTCAACTGTCTCACACAAGTCTGAAACTCCACGTCCTCCTCGCTAAAATAACACACACACACACACACACACACACACACACACACACACACACCCCATGGCCAGGAAGCTAAAAGTAATGGTTTAAAGCAACACTGAATAAGTTTCCTGCTTCCACACCTTCTACTTCCTACCGGTACATCGAGAGCTCTCTCTCAATCACGACATATTGGTACAACGCCCGCATCATTGCAGAAGCAGCACCAATCCACCTGTCAGTCCCACGCTCCGTCTTTCCCTCACTCGTGAACAAGATACCTAAACTCCTCCTCTTGACCCAGAGAAGGCATTGAACCCTTTTTCGACTCGAGACCGTGCTCACGGATTTAGAGGAGCTGAATCCCATCCCAGCTGCTTCACACTCTGCTGCAAACCACTCCAGTGAGAGCCGGAGATCACGGTCTGATGAAGCCAACAGGACAACAGCAGAGGCTTAATCCATAGGCCACCAAAACAGATCTCCTCAACACCTTGGCTGCGCCTAGAAATCCTGTCCATAAAAGTTATAAACAGAATCGGTGACAATGGGCAACCTTGGTGGAGTCCAACTCTCACTGGAATTGAGCCTGACTTACTGCCGGCAATGCGGACCAAGCTCTGACACCGGTCATATAGGGAACAGCCAGAGGGCCTGGTACCCCGTACTCCTAAAGTCTCTGGAGTGTGATGCCCTGTAATTGGAACACACCCTGCAGTCCCCCTTTTTAAATGGGGGGACCACCACACCAGTCTGCCAATCCAGTGGAACTGTCCTCGCAAAAGTACAGAGCTGCGTCAGCCAACACAACCCTACAACATCCAGATCCTTAAGGAACTTGTCTGGTGCCTTGCCACCAAGTAGCTTTTTGACCACCTCAGTGACCAGAGATTGGAGAGCCCAACCCAAAGTCCCCAGACTCTGCTTCCCCACTGGAAGACGTGCTGGTGGGATTGAGAAGGTCTTCAAAGTATTCTGCCCACCGATCCACAACATCCCAAGTAGAGATCAGCAGCACACCATCCCCACTATAAACAGTGTTGGTAGAGCACTGATTTCTCCTCCTGAGGTGCCGGGTGGTGGACCAGAATCTCCTCGAAGCCGTACAGAAGTCTTGTCCCATGGTCTCACCAAACTCCTCTCACACCCAGACTTTTGCCTCTGCAACCACTGGAGCCACGTTGCACTTGGCCTGCCGGTACCCATCAGCTGCCTCTGGAGTCCTACAGGCCAAAAAGACCTGATGGGATACTTTCTTCAGCTTGACGGCGTCCCTAACCGGTGTGTCCCAGAGGACTTGGGGATTGCCACCATAACTGGCAACGACGACCCTGCGGCTGCAGCTCCGGTCGACCACCTCGACAATGGAAGAACGAAACACGGCCCACTCTGACACGATGTCCCCCGCCTCCCCAGGAACATTTTGGAAGTTTTGTCAGAGATGGGAATTGAAACTTCCTCTGACAGGAGACTCTGCCAGACGTTCCCAGCAGACCCTCACAGTACATTTGGGCCTGCCAGGTCTGATCGGCATCCTCCCCCACCACCAAAGCCAACTCACCACCAGGTAGTGGTCAGTTGGCAGCTCTGCGCCTCTCTTCACCCGAGTGTCCAAGAAATGCGGTCGCAGATCAGATGAGACGACAACAAAATCGATCATCGAGTTGCGGCCTAAGGTGAACAAAACTTCTTTGGTGCCAAGAGCACATCCCTTTGTCTGAACACGATGTTCATTATGGACAATCCATGACTGGTACAGAAGTCCAATAACAAAACATCACTCACATTCAGGTAAGGGGAAGTTCCTCCCCACCACACCTCTCCAGGTCTCACTGTCGTCGCCCATGTGAGCGTTAAAGTCACACACAGACCAACGTTTACTTCCAGGCTCTACCCTGATGCCAACAAACAAAGCAAAATTATTTATCCTTGGTTAACGAATTGAATAAGCTAACTAATAGCCTTTATATTAGCTACCAGCACAGCAAACAGCTGTTGTAGAGACCACCCACAAGGTTTCCTACCTGAACCACTAAACTGTAAGGTGCAGTTTCTGGTCAGCAGAGGGCGACACAGTACTGTCCTCAAGTTGCTCATGTTTCTGGCTCAAGAGTGGTTCAAAGGCAGATCATTCTAAACCCAAAAACACATTAAAAAATATAGTTTTTGATCAAATTTAGATGTGAAGCTTAGAAAACACAATCCACATGTTCCAAAAAAAATCCTACTTTAACTATCTAACACAGCAGAAGAGGTTAATTCAGACTTGTGTGAAACAGATTTAAACATGATTAAAGATTTCTCTTTGTTTTATAACTTAGCTACTCGTGTTGATCATCGTCCTGTGCTGGCCCGTTACAGGCGTCCAACATAGAAAACAAACAGGACTGGATAAAGCACATCAGGGAGGTGATCCAGGAGCGCACCATTCACCTGAGAGGAGCGCTCAAGGAGCCCATCCACATTCCCAAAGCCACGACCACCAAGCATCACAAGGGACGAAGGTAAAGCAGCAGCTCAAGCCGAGCACGCAAATCACTGATGTCTCTGCAGCATCACACTCTCACAACAGCAAGAGCGTTGAGTTGTTAACTGTGTCTGTGATCAGGGATGGAGAGGACTTGGACAGTCAGGGTGAAGGCAGCAGCCAGCCAGACACGATCTCTCTAGCATCCCGCACCTCTCAGAACACGCTGGACAGCGACAAGGTAACGACACACACACACACACACACGCCTGTGATAATAGCCTGCACCAGTGCTGTGTGTAAGCAGGTCTTCATGTCGTCCTCAGCTGTCTGGTGGCTGTGAGCTGACCGTGGTCATACACGACTTCATGGCTAGCAACAGCAACGAGCTGACGGTGCGGCGTGGTCAGACGGTGGAGGTTCTAGAGCGATGTCACGAAAAGCCAGACTGGTGCCTTGTGAGAACAACAGACCGCTCCCCTTCCCTGGAGGGCCTGGTTCCCTGCTCCGTGCTCTGTATCGCCCATTCCAGGTCCTCCATGGAGATGGAGGGTATCTTCAACCACAAAGGTACAGAACCTCTAAAGTGTCTTCGTATGGGCAAGCTGAGTAGTGAGCAGCATTTACGGAGTTCCTGTTCTTCCACAGACACGTTGTCAGTCTGCAGCAACGACTCCATCATGCCGGGTTCCTCTGCTACACTTCAGCCGGGCCATGGCATCGGTTCTCACAGCTCACCTGGGCCGAAACGACCAGGTAGGACTGAAAAGAGCAGAACCTCAGACGGGACCTCACAGAACTGTTTCTGGTTTTGTTATTGGGAAGGATTATGGGAACAGTAGCATTAGGGATGTCCTGTTCAGATATCCATATGGAAGTCATTTGACATCGACCCGAAAACACCATCAGATAATATCGTACTGCATCAAAATACTCCGATATAAGTGGTCCGTTCCACTTTAAATTTCATTCCAGCAATTCTGTCCGTCAGCTCCCAGATCCAGCATGCAACACCCACGTGGTCAGAACAGTGCGTGCTAGCAAAGTAGCTAGGAGCAAGAGTAGTGTCAACCGCGTGGCAGAACTTTCTGTTGAGGTCCATGAGACAGTGCGGCTCAGTGCAACACTTACCATGCACAAGTTTTCCGTGGTCGAACAGAACCAGGAAAGTGTTTTACTTCCAGCCTCGTTGTGCGTTTGCAGCAGCATCACAAAACACTGCATGAGGATGTTCAGTGTGTGAAAATGAAACTTAGGACACTCAACTTGTAGCACTCGGTAAATGAACAATATTGTTGTTTTCTCACGTCCGTGCCCGCAGCAGCTCCTACCGTTAGCTGACAGTAAAACATAACTGAAGCAACCTTGAATTAGTATTTTGTACTTTAAACGATATCTTTAATTTTTTTACTTAAATATTTTTCACGGTCTTATTTATTTATTTATTTATATTCCTTTGTTATACATTATGTTTATACATTATACAGCCAGTGCTTAACAAATTGTTGTTGTTTTTTTCATACTCCCCATTGCGAATTATCACTTGGCCAAGCCTTCATACGTCCCACACTCTGAAACAAGTAAAAGTCTGTATGATTTGTGCTGGTGTCGTATGGGATTGATATCGGTATCGGTCAGTACTCAAGGCTGCATCATCTGTATCGTACTGGAAGTGAAAAAGTCGTACCGGGACGTCCCTAAGTAGCAACCCCAGTGAAATACTGGTTTTATCCCGGCACGTTCTCTAGGTAACACACTACGAAAGTGGCTCACCAGTCCAGTGCGCCGGCTCAGCAGCGGTAAGGCAGACGGACACGTCAAGAAGATCGCTCAGAAGCATAAGAAGAGTCGTGAGGTGAGAAAGAGTGGAGAGATGATGATGATGGGTTCACAGAAAGACTCCGACGACAGCGCTGCGACTCCTCAGGACGAAACTCTGGAGGAGGTGGGTGAATACGGGACGGCTTTTTCCTTTAGCGGTCGTGCGAAGTGATGTTTAAACGGGTGTTTTGTTATTTTATTTGTTGCAGAGGGTTCGTAACGAGGGCCTGTCGAGTGGAACGTTGTCCAAGTCCAGTTCTTCAGGCATGCAGAGCTGCGGAGAGGAGGAGGGTGAGGAAGGAGCCGACGCAGTGCCTCTTCCTCCTCCCATGGCCATCCAGCAGCACAGCCTGCTGCAGCCAGACTCGCAGGACGACAAGGTGAGAGGAGTCCGCGCGTCAGACATCTCCGACGCTTCACTTTGGCAGAAGTGGAGGAGGCAGTGACGGGAGAAAGTTCCTCACAAACTGTCCCGAGTTGGTGGACATACTGGAGCTTTTCTGTTACTGGTGCAGTTCCAGTTAGACGGGGTGGAAGCCACTGGGACGTTTATCAGTCTGAAATAGTTACATCAGTTTTTTTTATTTATCCACCATTAAAGTATCAATAAACATATTAAGGCCGTCTCCTGCAGTGGATGATGTCAGACTTTAAAACCAGGAAGTGAGTCGGGGCATGTGCCGCAGCAGGGGTGGTTGTCTCTGACCAATCAGCTGCGAGAACCCAAACATGGCATCAGTATGAGTTATCGACCGTACAGTCACGGCTGCTGGAAACATCACGTTTGAGGCTTTTAGTTAGGAAAACTGATCTGTTTGACTTTCCTCTGAATAATCATTTATTTCTCTTTGCTCTTCTGTAAGATCGAGTTACTCGTGTTTTACAGTTCATCACTCATAACATCCGTATTTAAGTTGTTTGTGTTTGAGATCAACATTGTTGATGCTGCACATTTTTTATTCTATTAATTCTATTATTATTTAATGTACCCCTAACCTAAAGAAGCACTGAAACGTCCCGGAGCCTTAACGGGTCGGTGATTAAAACGCGTCTGTGGTTAAAGCCCAGCTGTTGTGTTGCTGCTCGACTGCACCGTTTTGTTTGTGAAACGGTTTTTGTTTTGTGACTCTTTAGTTTCAGTTTAGCGTCTGATTTCCCTTCTTGTGAGGCAGAAAGACTGCAGCAGAACCTCCTGACACTAATTTCTGTTTCTCTTTTGTTTCCTGGTTGTATCGTTTGCTGTTTGCCACGCTGTAGCATTACGTTGATTTATGTCCTGTCTTTGCTTTGTCTCAGTTTCCATATCTCTCCATCTGACAGCCTTGCTCTTCCCCTCCGTCTCCTTCCTCAGTTTTATTCTTCAGTTCTGTTTTCCCTCCTCTTCAGCTGTAAAACCCTTTCCTGGAGCCCGTTTAGTTAAAAGTGACATTAAACTCAGTTTTAGACCTAACTCTACTTTTTCTAAAGCATTTTGATGAACTTTTGTATTTGACTGAACTCTTGAGCATTCCTGACTTGTGCTGACTGAGCCAGCTTAGTAGTGCTTGAGCCTGCTCCAGTAACACCTGAATCAGAGTGTCTGTGCATGCTTTCCAAGTCGTAGGCTGGGAGGATAGACGAGCTTTCATCAGTGATGGAGAAAGCGGTTAGGTTCCCTGTCAGATGATCAGGCAGGTTCTCTAAAGATCTAAATCTGAGATGAAAATTCAAATCCTCGTGTTCCCATCATGCCCCACCACCACCACCACTCCCTTCGTTTCCCACTCCTCCTTGCTCGTCCTCATTCCCTTTTTACCCTCTGTGCGTTAAACCTCATTACCCATGCAAGTAATTGGCATCTCTAAATGCTGACGAGGTCAGAGGGCGCACAGCACAGCAAGGGTGAGAGTCTCCTGAACTATATCCACACACACACACACACACACACACACACAGCTCTGTCATGCTCGCTGAAGGCATCCCTCACCATCCCAGAAAGCTGCAGACACCATCTGTCACCATTTAGGATATTTCTGCTTCTCTCCGCCTCACGTTCTCCTCTCATCTATAGTTTCATACAAGTTTCCTTCGATGTAAACTCAGAGTGTCGTGGTTCCACTAAACATTTCTTTACTAAGCCATTGTTCACACCAGTAACTGCGGCAACATCCACTCTGTTCAACAAATGAGGAGTTTAGAAAATGTTAAACTGCAGCATGACCTTTAACCCCTTCCTGCATTGGGCTTTTTCTTTGCTGTCCATTTATGATCCGTTACAAACGACATCCGTTCCGTTTAGTTTGGTTTCCACTATTTTTTGTCTGAGTTGAAAGAAAAATGAAGCAGAAAATGTGTGGATTCTCGTTTCTCACGCCCCCCCTCCTCCTGTCCCGTTTCTGCTCAGACGTCTTCTCGTCTGTCTGTCCGCCCGTCCAGTTCAGAGACGCCCAGTGCCGCTGAGTTGGTGAGCGCCATCGAGGAGTTGGTCAAAAGCAAGATGGTAGGATACAAACACTGCGTGTAGCTTTCATGCATCACAGCCCACAGTTTTGTTGTTTTTATGTAAAAATGGCGTTCAGATGTTTTATTAAAGTGGAATGGTGCCGCACCAGGAGGCCGCTTGCTGCTGGAGCACAGTTCTTCAGTTTTCAGATCCTTGTTACTGTTCTGTCTCGATTACAAGCGAGAGTAGCTAACGTCTGTGATCCCAGATGTGGAGACGTGGACTTGGTGCAGGAGGGAAGCAGAGATGGTCTGCTCAGATGTTCCTTAGTTCTGCTTCGACCATAGCAGCTTGGCAGATTTGAAGAGGAATGCAAAAAGAAGAGCAGGTGGTTTAGCAGATGGTGTGATTCAGAATATGCTACGCTTAAGTTATCATCTCTGCCTCTCAGATGTTCAGCTACTACTCTGTCAAGAAAATATTACAGCTGGATTAGTTTATGCTGATGTCAAGGATGCATCCAGCTCCTCTGCAAGATGCGCTCTGTGCAAACCTCATGTTGAGAGACGAGCTGGGACCAGAAGAAAGATGAGGATGTTGGAAGAGATTCTGGTGTTTTTAGGCTACAGACCGGGATGATTGTTACGTTATTATCAGCGTGGACGTCATGCCCAACATGAATTACTGGGTTAGGGTGAGGGACAACCCTACAGAGGCAGACTGCTGCAGAAGAAAATGGTTAAATACATTTTTCTCTAGGATCAGTCACACCGAGCTTAACGGGCAGGCTGAATGTGAAATCAATCTTCTACCCCTACTTCCTGCTTTAGCTGCTGATAGGAAGTAGACGAGGAAACGGTCAGCTCAGAAAAAGCCACTCAGATCTACGTCGTAGAAACATGATAGCATTTATGGACCCACCCATCGTGGCTCACAACGGGGAAGGCAGTTGTTTGTGTCCAGGAGAGGGCGTCTCGGATAGTAGAAGCTAACCATTAGCATTAGCAACATGGCACAACTCTTTAAAGCCTGATTTATGCTTCTCCGTCTGCGTCAGTGCGGAGACATGCAACGCCATTATCCGTCCTTGCGTAGGGCTCCGGCAGCCACGCAAGTACGTACGGAGTCGAGCCCACTTTTTTAAACATCCGTCGAACGAGACAGATTACGCAAGCTTGTGATTGGTCAGGACGCCGCTGTTGTTTACAGCGCCGCCATTGCAAAGAGAGCAGAGGATAACTAGCGGCAGACACGGAGAAGCTTGAAGAATACCTCGCGAAAAAACTCTAAAAATATGAACGTTTTATCCTCCCGTGACTGGAGGAGTGAAAAGATGCGCAGCAAGCATTTTATTTGTGGACGGAAATGACAGGAAACGTGGGTTTAGAGGTGGGGAGCGCATGAAGCGGTGGGAGAATGAGAGACAAATACGTCCGTGTTAAAAGTCTCTTACATACACAAAAAACACAATATAAACACACGATCTTGGACCGATACATGACAGGATACCGCAGAACAGCGCTACGCCCTCTGCTGTCCTGGCGGGGAATTGCTTTGCAACACTCCCCAGGAGACGGAGAAGTATGAGAGCAAAACGCTTCCATCAGTCCGTGCGTGTCTGTCCCCTGCGGAGATGACGGAGAAGCATGAACCAGGCTTAAGGCTTGTGCTATTAGTGAAGATCAAACATAAACGATGGAGTCAGTGGTAGAGTTGTGTTGCTGTTAGCCAGTCAGAGGCTAATATGTAATAATGATAATGAGTAAGACTCCACATCCTGCCATCTTCTGCACCCCTCTCCTTCGTCTGTCTTCTACTTCCTGAGACGGGAGCTCCAGAGCTTTTTTCCCTCAGAGATTGACTCACAAGGCATTCATGCATGAGACTGCTGCAGAGAAAGAGTGTGCCCTCTTTAATAGGGTTAAATGATGTGCTGCACGTACTTAAACCTCACCGTTGATGAACGTAGTTTATTTGTGTGGTTGCAGGCTCTGGAGGACAGACCCAGCTCTCTGTCAGTAGAACAGGGTGACAGCAGCTCTCCCTCCTTCAACCCCTCTGATAACTCCCTCCTGTCGTCCTCCTCACCTATAGACGAGATGGACGAACGGCGGGCCAGCATCCTGAAGAAGAGACAGTAGGTCTTCGGAGTGTCGTCATTCAGAGAGCTGCAGCAGTCATCTTTCTCCTTATAGTAGCAAGCTTCATAATCCTTCAGTGCTAAACAAAAATAACATTTTGCTCCTTTTGGCCGGTGATCATTCAGTTGTTTTGGCTGATTTATGGACTTTAAGTGCATTTAACAATAAGACGGTGGTGCTTCACCATAGACGAGGCTAGTGCGTGAACACAGACTCCAGCTGTGTGACACCTGTCCTCCTCTGCTAGTTATGTCCTGCTGGAGCTGGTGGAGACGGAGCGAGAATACGTCAAAGATCTGAGCCTGGTGGTGGAGGTGAGTTGGCTCCATCAGCACGGATTAACAGCTTAAATAATCCTGGTAACCGTCTGGACGTGGATCTTCTCTCTAAAGGGCTACATGAGCAGGATGAAGGAGGAGGGCGTTCCTGATGACATGAAGGGCAAAGATAAGATTGTGTTTGGAAACATCTATCAGATCTACGACTGGCACAAAGAGTATGTTGAGCTCGGGCAGAAAATCCTGATAGTTCTCTGTTCAGCCCTTCATTCCCTCTGTCTGCTAGTTTCTTTCTCAGGGAGTTGGAAAGATGTTTAGAGGACCCTGACCGACTGGGACCACTGTTCCTCCGACAGGTCTGTGCACTCTGAACATCCTCATTAGTGCAGTGCTCCTGCAGGAATGTGAACGTTTGTGTCCCAACCCAGGAGCAGAGGTTAAACATGTACGTGGTGTACTGTCAGAACAAGCCCAAGTCCGAGCTCATCGTGTCGGAGTACATTGACACCTACTTTGAGGTACGTGGTTGTAGTTTCAGACGTTACGGAGAGCAACGCCGCGACCAGCCTGAGAACACCTGATCGTTTTTGCAGGAGCTGAAGCAGCAGCTGGGACAGCGGCTCCAGATCACAGACCTGCTCATCAAACCTGTTCAGAGGATCATGAAATATCAGCTGCTGCTTAAGGTCAGTCTTACTGTGCAGCAGGGGGCGCCAGCTGCTCCTCACGTCTCTCTCTCTGATATTTAACATGTGACTCTTGGATTTAGGATTTCCTCAAACATTCTAAAAAGGCCGGACTCGAGTCTCCAGATCTAGAGGTGAGGTTAAATCTCCTTTAAGACATCGAGCACAAACACCTGCAGCCTTCTAAAGCCGGGGTTGTGATCGTTACAGAGAGCCGTGCAGGTCATGTGCATCGTGCCAAAAAGGTGCAACGACATGATGAACGTCGGCCGGCTTCAGGGATTCGATGTGAGGAGAAATGATTTAGTGAAACGAACGATGAAACGTGACGTTTGCTAAATAATGAGGCGTTTGCGTTTGCTCTCACCTCCTCTGCAGGGGAAGATTGTGGCTCAAGGCCGCCTGTTGCTTCAGGACACGTTTCAGGTGTCGGACCCAGAGGGCGGTCTGCTGGGCAGGATGAAGGAGAGGAGGGTGTTCCTGTTTGAGCAGCTGGTCATCTTCAGCGAACCTCTGGACAAGAAGAAGGCTCTCTCTCTGCCGGGCTTCCTCTACAGGAGCAGCATCAAGGTGAGGACCCTCACGCCGCCCAGCGGCACCAACACACTCTTCTGGGACTCACGTCGCCCTCCTGTTGTCCAGGTGAGCTGCTTGGGTCTGGAGGAGAACGTGGAAGGTGACCCCTCTAAGTTCATCCTCACCTCTCGCTCGCCCAGCGGCATCGTGGAGTCCGTTGTGCTTCACTCGTCCCACCCCGGGGTGTGTGAGGTCTGGACCCTTCAGATCAGCCAGATCCTCGAGAACCAACGCAACCTCCTCAATGGTAGGTTCTCTCCCACACACACCGGGTTCTGTAGAGGAGCTGCTTCTCTCTCTCTCCTGACCTCACCACAGTCCTGACCTCACCACTAGAGTACCAGAGGACCCACGGGGGGACAGCTGACGGCGTGGGAGTTCAGGGGAGCAGCGGAGTCGGAAACGGAACCTCCCAGTGCAGCTCCATCCCATCAGGACCACAGGGAAGCTCGCGTCGGCCTTCCAGGATCCCACAACCCTCCCGCCTGCCCCAGCCCCCCCGGGCTGAGGCTGACCCCCCCACCAGGACCTTGGGTAAGCAGCATCCTCTGATGTTTCTGCACATTGTCGTGGGATTTATGTGAGGAATGAGTTGTGCTCGGTTGTGATCCAGGTCCGTCCCCTCGTCCTGTCCCTCCACCAGGGGGCAGTCCACACGGAAAGCGTTCTTCTCAGACCCTAGAGGACCGCACACAGACCCCGCCCCCTGCCAGCAGCGCTGCCCCCATTCCTCGTGCCAAAGTCGGGCCTCTGCCCACCACACAGACTTCCAAAGCACGGCCAGGTGCCGTGTCCCCCATCACCTTGTCCCCTGCCTTTGGCAACGAGCCCCTTCCTCCCCCTCCTGCTAGTCCAAGCCAAAAGTCGGGGTCTGGGTTTTGGAGCTCCATTCCGGGCTCTCCGGCTAGTCGGCCCGGTTCGTTCACTTTCCCTGGGGAGGCAGGAGAGGCTCCGGTCCGTCAGACCCCAGCTGGCTCTGGGAATCAAACCCATCGGCACTCCACTCACAGCAAGGATGCCGACCGCATGAGTACGTGCTCATCGGCCAGTGAGCAGTCCACCCAGAGCAACGGGGTAAGACCACCACCTCCACTCACACAGCAGAGGAGGCCTGGTCTGTCCTGTCCTCCTGCAGCCAGCGCTACTAATCTGTCCCCCTCACCTCCTCAGCATCATTTCCTCTAAGCTGTCCGTCATTTCTCAAGACTTGTAAGATTTCAAAGCCGGTCTGTTCTGGAGGCTTTTCTGAACTCTAACAGTTTAAACTAACATCTTCCTTCCTGCTGGCTGAGCGGCTCTGTCTGACACTAACCTCTGACGTTTGTGCTCCCCCGCAAACGGACTCAGATCCTTCCATTCAGCCTGAAGCTCCTCTTGTCTTTGCTGGAGCTGCAGAGCAAAGAACGGAGAAGGAAATCATCTGATTGTTTTTATTTTACTCACCTTTTTTCCGCCTGAGGAGAAAACTTTCTTTGGTCTTTTTGAATCTTTTCTTGAGACTAAAACTTTCTGATCTAACAGCTCGTTTGTTCTGACTGTCATGCCAGCGGTCGTGTTTCATGTTGACCGCCCGTCCTCTCGCCTGTTGCAGAGTGAAAGCAGCAGCAGCAGTAGCGTGTCCACCATGTTGGTGACCCAGGACTACATGGCCGTGAAGGAGGATGAGATCAGCGTCGTTCAGGGAGAGGTGGTCCAGATCTTAGCCAGCAACCAGCAGAACATGTTCCTGGTGTTCAGGGCAGCTACGGAGCAGGGCCCCGCCGCCGAGGGCTGGATCCCCGGATTCGTGCTCGGACACACTTCAGCCATTGCTCCCGACTGCCCTGAGGGTCCCATCAGGTAGGACGTGGCAGGATGGGATGTTTGTGATCAGCTGATCGGACACTGGGATGATGCTTCCTTTCCTCAGTAGGAAGTCTTCATCTTGGCACACGTCCCTGCGTATTCGCAAGAAGTCTGAGAAGAAAGAGAAGGAGGCAAAGAAGGAGATCAAGCTGGAAAACGGTTACAGGAAGTCCAGAGAAGGCCTGGCCACTAAAGTTTCTGTAAAGGTGAGCGAGTCCCACTCACCGTCCAGCAGTGATGCTCCAACAGCTGATTTTCACTCCTCATTCCTCTTTTTGCAGCTTCTGAATCCAAACTACATCTACGACGGTGAGTTAAACATTCTGTGATTGGTTGAGTCACTTCCTGTTGTTTCTAACATCCATAACCCCACACAGCTCCTCCAGAATTCCTCGTACCCCTGAGCGACGTGACGTGTGATAACGGTGAGAGCGTGACTCTGAGGTGTAAGGTTTGTGGTCGCCCGCGCGCTGCGGTCACCTGGAGAGGACCCGGGCAAACCAACCTGACCAACAACGGACACTTCAGCATGGCCTACAGGTAGGAGGCGTGGCTGCAGCCTGGCAGGCAGCCAGACTGTGCTGTAACGGGGTGTGTGTGTGTGTGTGTGTGTGTGTGTGTAGTGATGCAGGTGAAGCTACGCTGCGGATCATCGGTGCAGCCTCTGAGGATGATGGTGTTTACACCTGCACTGCTGCTAACGACCTGGGCAGTGTAGCATCCTCGGCTAGCCTCAGAGTTCTAGGTAAGCTCGTGACGACGAGTCGGGTTTTAAACAGACGTGGAGCTGATGTTCTCATCTCCAGCAGCGGTCTCCACTGACGGGCGCCGAGTGAGCTGGAAGGACAACTTTGAGTCTCACTATACGGAGGTGGCTGAGCTGGGAAGGTAACACACCTGCCCCTCCCCCTCCCCTCCCCTCCCCTCCTCCTCCTCAGAGCCGGTAACCTGCCTTCTCTCCATCAGGGGTCGCTACTCCGTTGTGAAGCGCTGCGATCACCGCTGCACCAAGCGTACGGTCGCTGTCAAACACGTGAATAAGAAGCTGATGAAACGAGACCGAGTGACTCAGGAGCTCAACCTTCTGCAGAGACTCCAACATCCACACATCGTGAGCCTGTTAGACACGTACGAGACCTCCAGCAGCTACGCGCTGGTCCTGCAGATGTGAGTATGCAGCTAAAACACGCTTCGTCAGCTGATGTCTGTCCGGCTCATCCCATCCCTCCTGTCTGCTGCTCCAGGGCTGACCAGGGCCGCCTGCTGGACTACATCGTGAGCTGGGGCAATCTGACGGAGGAGAAGGTTTCCTGCTACCTGAGGAATGTTCTGGAAGCTTTACAGTACTTGCACAACTGCAGGATAGTTCACCTGGATGTAAAAGTAAGAATCTGCCGTGTCTTTGTCATGCTCTGTGCCCATATGACCTACGTATGACCTTCAGACCGCTCAGAGGAAACCCTAGACTCACGCTGGCAGCTCTAGTTCCCACTGTGGAACCTTTACCTTCAGCCCACATGCTCTTTTGTATTAGACCTGCGTCTCAGCCCCAAAACTCCTCAGATAACACGCTGTTTCAGATTATAATCTGACCATGTTGGTTTTTCCCTCCAGCCTGAGAACCTGCTGGTTTCCCACAATGCCTCTGGCCAGCCCATGGTCAAACTGACCGACTTCGGTGATGCTGAGCAGCTGAACAGTGCCCATTACATCCACCCTTTGCTGGGCAGTCCTGAGTTCGCCCCCCCAGAGCTAGTCCTGGGGGAGCCTGTGTCCCTGACCTCTGACCTGTGGAGTCTGGGTGTGGTGACCTATGTGCTGCTGAGCGGCGCCTCCCCCTTCCTGGACGAGAGTGCAGAGGAGACCTGCCTGAACATCTGCAGGTTGGACTTCAGCTTCCCCAGGGATTACTTCCAGGGAGTCAGCCAGGCGGCCCGGAACTTCGTGTGCCTGCTCCTCAGGACCGACCCCAGCAGGAGGCCGCCAGCTGGGCTCTGCCTCCAGGACCCGTGGCTGCAGGCCGGCCAGGGGGACGGGCGGGTCCGATCGGAGGGCTGCCTGGACACAGCGCGCCTCATCTCCTTCATAGACAGGAGGAAACATCAAACGGACGCCCGGCCCATCGCAGGTGTCAGGAGCTTTATCCAAAGTCGGCTTCAGTCTCGGGTTTGAGCTGAGGCTTCAGATGCCAAGTAGATGCTGATCTCATCCTCCTTCATGGATCTCAGTGAAACCTGTAGTCCCCTTCAAAGGTTCTGTAGAGAACCTGACCCTGGATCATCTGCTGCTGCTTGCTGTTTTAACTCCGATTCCAGAGTTAAACGAACAAATGAAGTTAACTTATTTTCCTTTGAGAGAGCTGATCCCCAGCAGAGAGGACACGCTGCCCTTCCTGTTTCTGACACACCATAACGGACACTTTGGATAACAAAAACTTTGTACAGAGAGAAAAGTTTTAATTCCACGGAAAGCTGCTGTCCAGAACAAGGATCAACATGAGTCCAACCATCGCTGTCCCAGGACAGAACCTGCGCTGCACAGCTGACGTGTTTAAGCCTTACCTTGTACAGACTTCTGCCTTCTCTCCTGGCGTTTGCAGCGGACGTCCGCTCCAGGACGGCGGGACGCGAGGCTGCGGAAGGCCAAACGACTGTAAATGCACTCGTTATGTTTGATTATCATGTGCAATGTTGCGGCTTTAACATTTTATGCAATTATTTATGAAGACATCTGTTGTATCTATAATAAATCTAGAGAAACGCGAGTTCCTGGTGCTGCAAGCACTGCTGGGAGTTGGTGTTTGTTTGCTGGTGGAGGCCAACGTGTAGAAAATCCAACAAGTCGTGTAGAAGCTGCCGTAGTATTGGTTCACCAAAGTTGCTCTAGCTTTATAGTACTTAACACGAAGGTGTGTTTAAATCATCGTTTACACGAGTTAAAACTTTAGGAGTGAACAACGAACACTTTCAGTTAAAGAGCTGAATGTACAGATTTATTTACTAAATGATCTAACTTTATTTGTTGCCAAATTAGTTCTTCCTTCAATTCCTGAAATGTAAAAGTTCTTTACAGGACTATAAACTTCATGTTTATTTAAAAAAAAAACAGCTTTTATTTATGCTAAGAATTCTGCCGTTAAAAACAAGGAAACCTCAGATTGTTCCCCTCCGCCCCCTTTTGTTGCATTTGTACGTTTTGTTTGATAAATTACATTTATTTTTTATCGTTGCATGTATATTTCTTTGTACAGATCACTTCCTGTAAATATTCTCAATTTTGCCATCGGTTATTTGAAAATTAAATCTAAGAAACACATTTTCTGCTCTATAGATTTTTTCTTTTGCAACTCCACCACATGGCAAAACTCCTCCAGGCTTGTGTTATTTGTGGAGCTAACTCAACTTTACAAAGTAAACCGAGTCAGTGTCATGGTGCTGTTAGCCAGTCAAAGGTGAGATGTCCAAATATCAGGGAATAGGGTTAATTTCAGGGGAAGTAATGCAAGGCAGCCATTTTTAACATGTATGCGCCGTTAAACAGCGAGAATATATCAGACCTAGCTGGTTCACAACAAAGACCACCTGTCCAGTTGTTTCCATCTAAACCTTTAAGGTATTTCATCTTTGACAGACATTTTTATACAATAGCTAAAAGTTAGCTTCTACTACGAGAGATGTTCCTGGATGCCAAACCAACACCAGCCTTCCCCATCGTGAGTCAAGATGGGTGAGTCCATTAACGTTAAGCGACAGAGTGACGTCAGGCTCCGAAAGTAACGGTATTAGACGCTAATGCAGAAGATAGATGTAGGAGACTATTTTCATGTTCAGCCTCCATGAAAAACTCAGACTGGCCAATTATAATCAGAATAAACGTTTAAAAAATGTTTTTTTCCGTGAACTACACCTTTAATCTTGTTGAGCGCAGACAGTTAAAATAGATTTGTTGCGTTTTAGTAATTTGTATAAGTGAAAGTGTTTTGGCTTTCCTGTTATTTAGATTAAACTATTAACACTAAATTAAACCCCACAGTGATTTTAAATGTTTTATTTTGAAGGAATCTACAGGAAGTGCTTGTGCATTTCGTCTCATTTAGCATCATGAACACTGCATGTAGTAATAGTTTTGGTCCAGCAGAGGGTGGAAAAACTCCTTAAATCTCAAAAACCAGAGGACTGCGTTAGTGTTTCCATCCAGTTGACCCAAATAATGCATAATTATCCCCTGTAGTCAGAATATGGCCATTAATCAAATCAAGTCAGATTAAAATTACTTAAATTAAAAGTTTATAAACTAAGTAATGAAGAACTGAAATCAAAAGTGACTTTTTTACTGTTTGTTCTTTGTTCAAATTAACTTGTTCAAGAGTTGCGTAGTAGAAATAATTCCTGTAATTTTTTGTTTCAAACACTGTTTTGTTGCCTTGAGAGAATGGGGAATTTGCGACCTTTGACAAAAAACTGAAAAACACAGGTTTCCAACAGCATTTAGAAGAGAAGGAAAGATGGCGAGTTACTACCCTCCAGTGTCTGAAAGCTGGTACTACACTTTTGTTCCTTTTAGCCATTTAGAAGAGCTTATTTTAGGCTACTTGTCTTAATAAAGATTTAAAAAATCTTATTTTTGTCCACTCGGGAATATTAAAATTGAGGATGAGTAGAAAGAGCAGAAGGAACTGAACCGGAGTATTTCTCTTATCCAATGGCACCATCTAGTGGCTGACAAGCATATCACACAAAAAGTTGCTTTGTTTTTTTTTTAAGATGGTGACTTCGCGTTTAGTAATGTGCGTCTATAGCCAACAACAGAGCTAAAACAAGCAGTTTTACAAGTATTATTCTAATGCCATGCAGTGTTTTCATATATTTATATTTCAAGGTCTTTCTTGTCCATGAAAAGTTCATCAACTGCATCAGCCGAGGTATTCCTTAAATTTGAAGCATCTAAGCGGTAGTCTAACGTTATTGGTTAGTTCTGGTCAGCGCTCTGTTTCCTATTGCACGGAGCTCTGCGGGGCAGGGGGCGTGCGTAGCAATAAATAAAAAAAGACGTATTGCTTACAGTATAACACAGTACATGATAAGATAACCACTTTTACGGATTTCTGAAAAACCATACATAATTTCTGAAAGTAGAAAACTCCGGAAAGCTACTTTAAGTATTCCTTAATAGAAACACTTCCTCTAAATTCTTCCAAACACCATTTTGTTCCCTTGAAAGAAAGGGGAATTTGTGCCCTCTGCTGGCAAAAATTGAACACTCTGGTTCCAACAGCATCTAAAAGAGAAAAGATGGGAGGTGCTGCCCTCCAGTGTCTGAACGCTGGTACTACACTTGTTTATTATTATTATTATTATTATTGCCATTTAGAAGAGCGTAGCTAGCTAAAAACATATTTTACTGCTTTTTCCACAAACCAGACATATGATGTGGCATGACAGTTAAAATATAAATAATTAAATAAAATACAAAATCCCATCAGGTAGGCTAGGAAAGCCAGTAGTAATCCCACGTTGTTTTTAATAGTACACCTCAACCGTAGAATATTTTAGTCTATTTAGTAAATGTGAACGCTGACTTTCTGCAGCACTGTTTATTATTTTTAATTGTAGTCATTTTTCTGTTAATTATATTACTTACACACCAAGAAGATAAATATTTCATATATGGCCCCCAGCAAGCCTTTTTTCCACCAGCCACTGCTAAGGACACAAACATGGACTAAAGGGAGGGGACAGCGACTCGGTGACCTTGATGGCCTCATTAGTAATAATAACGTGATCAGTGTGGTTCAGACCACACCTTAGCCTCCTGCTTCCTACCCAAGTGTCAGAACTGAGAAAGCTTCTTGGGTGAGAGACGAAAAGTCTTCAAGGAAATGAAGAAAAGCCCAGTTGTTCCAACTAAACCTTCACAATCATCATGCCCTGGAATACTGCACATCTACACAGACTAACCTGATTGATGGAGGATGAAACCGACGTTCATGACAGACTCCAGTTCACCTGCAGAGTAACTCAGGTGTGATTTATCCCACTGATTAGGAGGCGGAGCCCCCGTTTTCTTCCCCAGGGAGTAAAACTGCTGATTTTGTCTTCAAACCCAGATAAAAAAACTTTTATTTGAACAAGTTTAATTATATTTTAAAACTTACCTGGTCATGTGTATCTGAAGTGCTGATGTGTGGAAGTCAACAGCCTCCGTTTGAAGAAACTGTTCACGCTCTACAGGACCGATGAGCTAATGGCTAGTTTAAACTATTACCATCATTTTTACTTTAAATGGGATTTTACTGCGTAGCGTTCCTGTGCTTCTAGAATTCCCTAACCTTCCTAATAATACCCAGGTAAAGTGAAAATGTACTTAAATATAGATGAGAGCTGTGTACGCACACACCTGAGGTCATCTGGACAAAACCCGTCGCCTCCGGCTGCTTTGAGACTGAACAAAGAAGAACACACCAGAGCTTCAGGCACATTTGGTTTATAGCAATTTTATATTTTTATTCTAATTTCCAATAAACAGAGAATATACCAGTCCCTTATTTGTACAAAAATACCTGAACAGAATACAATGTAGAACCAGGAGTCGCAGAGACAGAGGGAAGCAAAGCAGAGACGGTTATGTAGGAAAAATGATCAGGATTCATTCATTTTCTTTCCCTGAAATGTTTGTCTTCAGCTTATGAAGACTTCAACCCAAACATTAAAAACACGCAGTCGGTCCCACCTGCACCAACATTAGGAGTCACGATGGACGGATGTTAGAAAAGGACGACCTGCCGTGAGACGCGTGAAAACTAACCACGCACCTTTAAACAAGAGTACATGGTTTAGAAAACTCCTCTTTAGCTACGGCCTATCGTTGTACCACTCGTGTTGTACAAAAGCTACTACAAAGACCCCAAATGTTAACGTGTGACGACCTCGCCACTGGTGAATAAATCAGAGAGGGGGCATTTTAAAGAAACGCCTCGGAGTGGAGGACTCAGCTTATACGTACAGGTGGTGTTCAGAAATCAGACACTGGCCAAAAATCCAGTTTGATCTCATAAAACCTGAAGTTTAACTTAATACTGTAAATACTCTCTGGCCAGAAACGTCGACACACACAATCAATCAAAAAAATCATTCTTAATTTTATGGTGTTATGAGCAAAAGCATAACACCGCTTCTTACATAGTGATCTGTGACCTACATACAGTGTTACATCTACTTCTTCTTTCCATAACTTCACATACTTAGATAAACAGGTGATACTTTATACTGGGAACAATGGGAGACGTGTGGAAAGGATGGCATGATGGTGGCACAGTGGTGAGAGGGAGGATGGAGAGAGACGTGGCTGAGTTCCTCTGATGGATCAGGACTGGGAATGTGGGGAAAACTTCCTTCTTCTGATTCCTTTAACAGTCAGGCCACACACACACACACACACACACACTTATAGCTTAAAGGTGGGAGAGGCAATTCAAGCATTACCAGATCCCTGGAGAGAGTCTGCCCTGACTGAGTGGAAAAAGGCTCGACTAATGGAGTACAGAGCAGGTGGTGGCAGTGATTAGTGACCTGATCTCATCCCGTGACGATTAAAGAAACGTAGCTGCAGACACACACACACACACACACACACACACACACACACACACACACACACACACACACACACACACACACACACACACACTTTTACCTTTAAATGTTTTCATTACAATCAAAGACATTAGAGACGGCCTAAAACAGGACTTGTGTTTGTGTTGCGTCGCTAACTCCATCTCGGCGTGTTTTTCAGTTTCATAGATGTTTTTCCCGTTTAGATTTTCTCGTAAAGGGTTTAAGTGCCATTTTACGTCAAATAACATTTGTCTGACCATTTATTTCACTAAATGATGAAAAAAGAAGCTAAATATCACATTAGTCATGAAAATAGTGCCTTTTCCCCATAAAAACAGGAAATTAAACAGCTGAGAAGTGTAATGTGTTTGTGAGGATTCCTGCTGTATGACAGCAACAAAGCTACTAGTGCTGGGCTGAACGTCACTGACACTGCTGATGCTCAGCAATAAGAAGTCTAAACCCCATCGAGCTCTGGGATCGTCTCGCCAGCACCTGCCCTGTAAACGGGAACGGCCTTCTCACGCAGCAAATTTCTGATTATTCACCTCAGCTGATGCTCGAGGTCCTTATGTCTTTAATCTGGAGGAGCTCAAGATTCTCTTAATGCCAAACTCAAAACTCCAAAAAGGCAGAAAATTCTCTCGATGATTAAAACAGGACCACGTTTGAGGTAAATTACATTTTTACGGATTAAAATCAGAACACACACACACATACTAGCTCATTTGGAGGCCAAACCCGATTCTCGATTTAAGACGAGATTGTTGATTGTATGCTAAATATAAAGTTGCTACCTGGTAGTCATGGAAACAACAACATAAACCAGACAAGTTCATAAGGAGGCATTCAGCATCCAGTTGAATAAAATCATATGTGAAGGACTGATTAGAGGCCAGAACCACTTCGAAGACGAGAATCTGGCCCGATCAGAGGGAAACGTGATCCTTTTATTGCATCGCCTCATTAAAATCTTCACTTCCTGTTTAATACTTGATGAGGTTAGCCCTAACTGCAGAATATCAGGTAGAAAATCATAACTTTTTACAATCATGTTTTTTTTTTTATTCAAGTTTTCGTTCTAGAGACTTTACGATGAATTTAAAAACCTCAGGTGAAACACAGGAGTAGACGAGTAGCTCCATATTTAGCATACCGGTATAAAAGTGGCAAAAAGAAAGCTAATTTTCCCAAAACCTTCCACCATTCAGCACGTTGGTTCATTCCATCACTCTTTAAAATCCCAAACGTCTCACTGTATGCGCATTTTCAGGTAGCTTCTTCTATTTCATACACATGGCTCATCATCATCATCATCATCGGTTCACTTAAGGCAAGTGAAGCTCAGCCGACGCCGTTGACGCAGCCTCGGCCGATTTCACATTTCAAGTCATTTTCAAATTCTGTATTCAAAACGAGGAGAAAAAAGTTACGAGAGTGCTTTTGTTGCTTTGAACCGGAGCAGTCGGAATCTGAACACGTCAGCTCCAACGCCCCAAAAAACAAAAAACAAACAAAACAGGAAGATTAAAATGTGCAAGCACTGAACTCCGATCAGATCTGGGAAGAGAAAACGACATTCAAAGAGAAATTCACCGACAGATATGACCCTTTAGATTAAAACAAGATGGTGGAAGCTCGGGGAGTGGGCGCACTTCTCCTCAGGTGTCTATAAAATCTTCCTCCTCGTCCTCTCACGGTCTGGAGGTGCTGCAGCTGGTTAGAGAGCTCATTCATGAAAACGTTCCTGAACCTTTCTGAAAGGCGTTGCATCATCCGCCAGAACGCCACTCCCACGCTGCCGTAAATCCAATCAGAGCTGGTGGAAAATCACATGCACGCTTTTGAGAGAGGAGAGGAGGCAGCTGATGTCCGTCCGCCCAGGAGTGCAAAACTAGTTCTGCATTGAATCGACACGAATAAAAACAGCATTAAATGACATCAAGTAATCACCTCTAAGAGAGGCTTGTTACGGCCTTCCTGATAAACATTCCTCTGTCCTTTTAGCAAACCCTCGCCACTACTCCGCTCGTCTGGCCTTCGGACACTTCACTGGTCTCTCCGGACTGTTCCGAGCTTCCATGGAGGCGGGATCAGGGGTCGCACGGGGAGAATGTGGGTCAGAACGCAGCAAAGCCCCATGAAGGAGTTGGGAGGAGGGACAGCTTATCCAGACTGGACTGCACAGGTTGAGAAACTCCAGGATCTTATCTGATCGGATCCAGAGAGGTTCCCGTCCATCCCTGATGATTTGTGAGGAAGTCAGAGGGTGGCGCACCCCGCCCGCCTCGGTGGAGAGGGGGCGAGGGTAGGGCGGGCACCACAGCTTATCAGGCCTGGAGGATGGGAGGGGAGGAAGGATGAGGCAGAGGGCTTGTCCTAAAAAAGACCTGCAGCACTCCGGCTGGTAGGATGTTACGGTAGTGGTCTCGTGTTTCGGGCATGCCGTGTTTCTCAGGGTTGCCACGGCAACGACTAATTCCTCGAATCCGCCGGACAGCATCACAGGAGCCGTACGGTCGAGTTCACGATTCGAAGCATCCAAATGACGGGGAGCCCGCTCCTGCTTCTCCTCCATTGCTTTGTTAAGGGAGGGGGTGAAGGGAGGGAGGTGTGCAAAAACAGGGGAGTGTGGGGGGTGTCAGGTGAGTAGTGTCACAAGGCCACGGCGGTGCACGGGTGTTTGAGCTTGCAGGGCAGCACTCCTCTGTTGAGCTGGTAGAAGTCCACCAGATGGATCAGGTCGGTGAACTTGGTGGCACCGTCATCCAGGCTGAAGAACACCTGACCGTCCTCCTCACACTGCAAGTCAGAACCAGGAAGAAACAACACTAAGTCAGGTCTGATAGAGCCAAGTTAAGTCTGATGTCTGAGTTAACGGACCGGTAGGATCTGGAAGTGCTTTATCTTCTGATGGTGGCACAAGGTGAGCACGAATGCCTTGGGATTACTCTGACTGTCCCGCACCAGGAACAACCTGGGAAAACACACCATTACTACACATCATGTCTTTACGTGAAACGTGTGAAAGAGCTGAGGGAGACTCTCCCACTCACCCGTCCACCTGACCCTGCTGGATGATCATTCTGTGGGCCTCCTCCCTCATGATGCGACCGTGAAACCACACCTGTGTCTTGTGGATCACTGCAACACAACATCAAAGGTCTGCTTAGGGCTCCTCCCCACCAGCGTGTGAATGGGTGTGTGTGAATGGGTGTGTGTGAATGGGTGTGTGTGAATGGGTGAATGACTGATTGTGCTGTGAAGCGCCTTGGAGGGTTGTAGAACCCTAAGAAGGCGCTATACAAATACAGGCCATCTACCACCCTGTTGTGTGTGTGTGTGTGTGCGTGCGTGCGTGCGTGTGTGTGTGTGTGTGTGTGTGTGTGTGTAATGGGGGGGGGGGGGGTGTACCTGAGCTCAGAGAGGATGGATGTAGCGGGCTGGGGCTGCCCAGAACATTCATACGGTGGGTCCTCTTCTGTAAGGAAACACACCAAGTTAGAGAAGGCCTCCATGCTATTATGAAATCAACTTAATATGATTTATAATCTACATGGTCAGTCTGAAAAGAGAAAAAAGCTCCTGAATATAAACAAAGTGGTTGAGAGCACAAAACGGGCAGAAACTGGCAGGAGAAACCATCTCATCTGTATGAGGATGGTAGTCTGCTAAAAGAATTTAAAGTTCCCTGACAATATTTGTAAATGTATGTGTGTATTATGCAGAAAGCAGGACCCCTCTGGTCCATCTTCTCTTGTCAGGAGATGAGCAGCTGCATTTAGTGTGTGTGTGTGTGTGTGTGTGTGTGTGTGTGTGTGTGTGTGTGTGTGTGTGTGTGTGTGTGTGTGTGTGTGTGTGTGTGTGTGTGTGTGTGTGTGTGTGTGTGTGTGTGTGTGTGTGTGTGTGTGTGTGTGTGTGTGTGTGACAACAAAGAACTAACATGAAATATCAGAACAAATACAAGAACAAAATTATCTCGTTTAAAATAGTGAGAGCTGATAAATCCTCCTCTTGAACTTATGACCACTAACAAAATGTTACCTGCAGCCTCCTTAAGTCACATAAGACACTAGAAGGTCATGTGATGTTGCATCAACCCCCCCCCCCCCCCCCCCCCCCCCCCCGGTGCACATATATAGGTACGGGACCGACAACACGCCCCAGAGGAACCCCACAAGTGAAGCCATTTGGTTTAATGAGTAAAATAATAAACTTAAGTGCCAGTTAAGACTACCAGTTCTATCAGCTATAAAGGATCCTGTTATTTTTATTTAACCCTCTCACGCTCAAAATAAGTTTTGATAAAAGGACGAACAACTAAGTCCTTCAGGAGAACTTCTGAGTTAAAAATGCTCATGAAATACGTGTGTGGAGTAACCAGGTGGGTAGGTTTTAGTGTTGCTAATCTGCAACGCCTGCCTCCAGAGGGTTAAAGCAACTTTAAAACCTCCACAAAATTCAGCAGGACTAGCCACAGCTAAGTCTTCTGAATAAGCTGCTGGATTATATTTACAAAGGCTTCTTATTTAGTGCTGTTACACAGTTGAAATTCACCCTAACCCTAATCTGACCACTCAGGAGAAACATGGAGAAAGATCATCTGGGAGTGTTTGGGTTCTGACTGTAAGTAACAGTCTAGGTACCAGTATTAAGAGACTGGGGTGCTTATTCATTTGACTTTCACATCAAAGATGGTATCCAGATTTAGGCTTTGCACTAAGATGAGGAGCGTTTCCCCATCAGTGGTCGGCTGACGGGTTAGGGCTGCCTTAAGCAGCTGATGCTGATATGTGTAGAGAAAATGTATCAGAACATTAGTTCACGTTAAAAAGAGAGGAATGAATATTATATTTAAAAAAACTAAAATGGAGACATGTTCTTTTTTTTATGTCTCAAACATGCTCACCCTCCAGGTCTGTCCCTCCTCCAGGGCAGCGCTCTGAGCCTCCACAGGGTTGTCGATGACGCGACCGGTCCTTCCAGAGAAGTCCATGGCAACCAGAGAGTTCTCGGATACGCTCCGCTGTTAACAGTAGGCGGTGGGGGAGGGGATTAGTGGTAGTGAATGGGGGAGGAGGGTAGAGGGGGTGGGGGTTGACAAGGGTCAGAGGTCAAGCAAGCCAGACGCACTCACTGGAGCATGTCAAATCCTGTCTGCACACAGACCCAGTTCAGTCAATCCACAAATGCTCCTCTGAGGAAAAGAACCAGCCTCTCCTGGCTCTAGGGCGGTGGAACCCAAACTGGTCGGGTTTCTTTTAGCCAGCTGTCTTAAAAATGACATTTAACCAATAAACAGGTCGTTTTTGCTGTGTGTGTGTGCGTGCGTGTGTGTGTGTGTGTGTGTGCGTGTTATTTAAATCTAGTCCGTTTCCCCATCAGACAGAAACGAGGGCTGACACTCTGTTCACCATCAGCTAGATCTCAGGTCTGGTTTGATCTGGACGGGTTGGAATAAAGTGTCAGCAGAGCGGAGATGCTCACCACAGGCGCAGAGAACGATGAGTTGGTAGACTTTCTCTGCTGGGGCACGTTGTAGTTGTGATATAGCACAATCCCAAACTGTGGAAACAGAAAACATAACTGACTCCAGTTTCTTTTAAATGTCATTTAGTGAACTGCTAGCCTAAATGCCAGTTAGCAGCAAAGGTCTGGTCTGTGCCATTTGACCACTTTAGAGCTAAAGATTCAATTCCAACCAGTAAGACTTTACTTTGAGCAGTCTGAAGGCGGTCATCCAGCAGGTCCTGCTCTGCTCGTCCTCCGCACATAGCATCTTGAGCTCCTTACAGTCGCTCCTCACTTTGTTGGGCTGTTAACCAAACAGTGCACACAGCAGGGGAGGAAATTAATGATAAAAATGTCATGAGCACAAACACTATCAGACATATTTTTGTAGTTAATGTAGACCAAATGTGAAACACTCCTAGAGCAGGTCTGAAAGGTAAAAGTCACACTTGGTGCTTAGTAACTTTTGAGATTTGAATATTTTGAGCTTTGTTTGTTCCTGTTAGTAGCAGCCAGCGTAGGAGCCAATTTCATGACTCGTGAGCTCCTTCAATACATATTTTTATATAAACTACAATAAATCACTTCAAAGGCATCTCCATTGAACAATTCTTTATCAAGTGTGAGACAAACATCTTTACATCTCCAGTAACAAAAAGCTAACCGCTCTCAAACATTCAACCTAAAATAGAAAATTGCAACCCTTTACAAAAAAGCTCTCCCTACAAATGTCTAATTAGGATTTGATAATCTGCAAACCATTTATAAGTCATTAGAAATGTTATTATGCATTATTAAGGTAAAAAATAGACTAAACTGACAGGTTTCTTGGCAAATAGTGAGCCAAACATGTTCACCGCTATATTTCATCTGGAGTTGCCATAGTTAACATTTCAGACAAACTTATTCCCTTTGAGCTCATGGGTGTAAGATGTCCTGACTGTCAAGACATGGGGGTAGTGAGGGTTAGCATCACTGTCAGCACTGGAGCTCCACAAGGGAGTGTGCTTGGTCCCCTGCTGTAATCTTTATACACATGGCGGTGCTGGGTCTCATCTCTAACAATAGTGAGGGTCTTGCTGTGTCCAAATGCAGGGGCTGCATCCTTTAAACCAGGGGTTTTCAATTCTGGTCCTGGAGGTCCGGTATCCAGTACGTTTTAGTGGATTCTCTGATTTAACACACTTCACCTGTGCAGCAGCTCATCGGGCTCTGCAGAAGCCTGTTAATCATCTGCTGATTGAAATTAGGTGTGCCGAATCAGAGATGAAACTGAAACGTGCTGGATACCAGCCCTCCAGGCCCAGAAGTGAATACCAAGCAGGGTGTTTCCTGGCTCAAAGTGAGGCAGAGGTGGTACCATCCTGACCGTGCACCAGCACAAGCATACTATGTGCATTAAATCCGCCTCATTTTTTTAAAGGCAAAATATTATAAAAGGCTCAATAATATGCATTAGATTGATGTTTAGTTCCCTTTTTCCATCTGATATTTATAGTTAAAAATATCTTTTCAATATTTGACCTAAGTTTCAGTAAAATTTTAGGTTTGTATTAATAACACTCATCTTAGTCAAAATAACACGTAAATATAACCAGTAAAATAGAATGCATTTCATTAACATGCTTTTGTGTTGGAAATGGTAATAACATTTAATTTCTGCTGCTAACAATGTAAGAAGAAGAAGAAGAAGAAAAAGAAAAAGAAAAAGAAAAAGAAGATGAAGATATAATTTATATAGTGGGATGTCTACTATGTGCGGGTTAGGGTTAGGGGGGTGTTCCGTTTTGCCTTGGTTCCCAAAATGCCTTGAAACGGCCCTGGGCGTGTGACTGAGTTTTGAAGGTGATCTGAACTGTATCAGATGTATAAATATTACCATGTGTGTAACGTATTATTTTATACAGGTGAAAACGTGTAGTGGAGATAAATCTACCTACATTTGACTTTCAAGCTTTGTTTTCTTGTTTTTATTGAACTATTTCCTGTCCTGTCTGTCTCTCATCTTCCTGCATCTCCTCTAAACTCTCCAGAAAAACTGCCTCCTGCATTCTTACTTTTTCACCTCATCAGTTACTTCTGAGCAGATCAAAGGGATCTCCTGACCGCAAAGCGGAGAGCGCGTTTCGATGCTGCGTCAGTGAGGTGAAATCACAGCAGCACACAATGAGCTGAGCACGTCAGGAACAATTAAAAGACAGAGTACCAGAGGATTTAAACAGATATGAACGATCATGTTAATAATAATGTTTGGGTGAGCCACCTTGAGAATGTATCGTGCGCCGGACGCAGCGGGCGCACCAACGATCAGCGCTCTGCGTCCTCTCCTCTCAACAGAATCCCGCTACGCTGGGAGTCCATAAATATTGTAATATAGACAGAAACTGGACCTTTCCCTGAAAGATATCTAACCCCCATAACTCGATCCCTGCTCCTGGATGAAAAACCAGACATTTTGATCAATGTAGGAAACCCCGGACATCCCGGATAGACAGTGAAAAGTGGACATGTCCGGGGGAAAGAGGGCTTATGGTCAGCCTACAACAGCACCAGCCATAGACATGTACCAACTAGCGAGAAAAGCCTTTTTTGATCTTATTTTTCTGCAGCGGTTTTAGCACTTTTCGGTGTACCGCTGCTGATACAGCGCCCCTGTAGTGGAGCAACGCTGCAACTGCAGTTAAAATAACATCCATAAAGCTGGGGGCAGAGTGAAATCAGGCTGGGGTGGCACAAAAATAGCTGCAGGCGGCCGCCACGCAAACTAGAACGCAGGAAAACCCCGGCCACTGTTTTAAAGGACCAAGCCTACTCAATCAACGAAGGACAATCTAGCCTTTAGATTCATACCTGCTCCTTACATCCGTGTATGTCCTGTTGCCTAGCAACTGCAGTGCAGCTGAACAGAAGCTAATGACAATGGGAACTTAAACATACTGCAGAGCTTTTTCATAACTCATCGTGTCTTCGAGGCACCACAGCAGCTTTCCTGCCACATCAGTTCGTTTACGATGATTTTTCTTTTGATTATTGATAAAAAGATTTTTTAACAGATAAATGCCTAACACCACCACTGCTTTATGTGTTTACATTTTTTTACCACCAGATCTTAATATACATACATTTAAAACTGCAACCCTCTCCTGCTTTGGTTGCTATTATTACAATTTAAAAAATCTGTAGTTTGGCCCAAAATTAATCTTGGGAGAGAGTAGTCCAGGCCGGACCCTTCCTTTCAAATCCGGGGTAAAAGAAAGACACATTTGTGGGCCCCTTTTATAGGTGCTTTCAAATTTGGACAGCCTTTGTTGCGTCGCTGTGATGTAGTCAGCCTTCAAATGCTGCCTTTGTAGGATGCAGCCTCTGAAATTGGGACACACACACACACCATGGGACAATTCTGTCTACAATTAACCTGACATGCATGTTTTTGGTCTGTGGGAGGAAACCGGAAGAGACCCACGCACATACAAGCGTGAGAAAAACATGATAATTCCACGCAGAAAGCCCTTATTGGAGCCTGCGACCTCCTTGCTGTGAGGGAACAGTGCACCCAGCTGCACCACCATTTAGCCAAGAGGCAAAACAAGTAAATATCATTGTTGTTGTTCCAATTTAGACCTTAAAAGTAACAGATCTGAATGTAAGCCAGAGACTAATGACCCAACAGTGAAGCCCAGGATTTACAAAGCAGATATGTAATTCTGTCTTTAGGGGAGAATGCAACCTCTCCAGATGAATGAATGAATGTCATATGATTAGTGCAATGACGTTTAACCTTGATGCAGAACTGGTAGTCTGTGGGAGCGTTGTGAAGTTTTCTGCCTGTGATGATGGTGAAGATGTTGCTATCTTCCAGATCTGAGAGCAGCTGCAGGTGTCTGGGTTCCTGTTGAGCAGTGATGGACAGAGTCAGCTACAGCGTGACCCATAAAACTTAGATCTGAAATTAAACACCTAATAAAGGAAAGTTAGTGCTTTAAAAAAAAGTATTAAAATAGTTGGTTCGGTCCAAGAGTGCAACGATTACACCTACAGCCGTAGTTTATCACCTTGGATGTTCCTTTAGAGGAGTAATAAAGCCCGGAGCGTCGCAGCAGCATGTACAGCTTCTTCCAAGACTTCCTGCCAGGCTCCTTCACATACAGAAACCCCTGGATCTCCGGGCAGCTGCTGGAGTTCAGAAAGTTCTAAAAACAATAATAATAAAAATTTAAACAAATACGTAATCCTACCAGCGAACATTATTTTAGATTTACCACGCGTTAAATGTGAGATTAAACATTTAAGGAGCCGTTCTCTTAAGCCATTGCATATTATACGATGTCAGCTTTGCATAAACTTGCAATAGCTTACAATACCTATTCAGTAACAGCTTGTCGTGTTTGCAGCTGGCTCTGATGCTGCTTAGGTTATTTTGTGCCCCAGTTTAAGTCGGGTAATTCAGGGTGACTGAACCTGTCTTTTACACATGACTGTGGCTCTTCAGACATTTCCTTACCTGTAAAAGCTGTGCCTGAGGGATCGAACCGTCAGAGTCGTGACACCAAGTCACCATATGCTCTGGAAAAAAGTTCTGGACGGAAATACAAAATAATGTGACAATGAGCGACAGAAAAAGGGACAAAAACAGATGCAGTCACTTGAAACCACTTAGTGCATGTGCAAGAAAAGAGGGGAAGAATCTCCAGTGTGCGTGTGTGTGTGTGTGTGTGCGTGTGTGTGTGTGTGTGTGTGTGTGTGTGTGTGCGTGTGTGTGTGTGATGAGGTTTCAAAGACAAAGTGGAGGGAGGGGGTGAGGGCACTCTAGCCTGGGATGCAGTATGATCTCACCCGCTGATGTAATCCCCTTTAGCCAGCAGCGCCACTCTTAGTGTGATTGGCAGGCCACGGCGAGCACTCTAGTGTTTTACTGTGCTCATTACCACAGAGCTGAGGTCACCTGCTGTCTCTGACACACACCTAAATCACCACACCAGTAACGTCCTCGTACACCCCATCAACACCCAGCGCCACAGCCCTGAGCTGGGAGACGCCACACAGGACCTGCAGGCTTCCTTTCCTCAGAACAAAGATTTGTTTTCTTCTGTCTAAATTCCCTCAAAATCACAATATGTAAACCAGCCTTAATATGGAATAAAATTCAAACTCAGACCCAAAGTGGACTAAAGTAACAAACCACTATATACTATACAGAACTAGACGACGACCATGAACAGCTATCAAAAGGACGAAGCATTAAAAATATTGAAATTAGTTAAGAAAATCAGTCATGCTAACATGGGCTCACAACTACATATTTCCTAAATATTATTTAATATTATTTAATTTATTATTAATTAAATAATTATTCTATATAATATATTATTAATTATGTTTTAAAATGCTAAAAAAACAAAAAAACAGCAGCACCTGCATCGCATGTTCACTTTTCATGCAATTGCCCCTCCTGGGCAAGCACCCGGCCACAGTGGAGAGAAAAAACAGAACCAAATTATGGACCGAAGGTCATCTGCCTCGAATGAAATAAATGCAGAAACCTTCTCTTAAATAACTTATTCAAGCAGCCAGCTGCTGCTTTAGTGAATTTACGTAAAAGGGCGTCCAGTGGCAGACCCAAATGTTTTCTGCACACAGGACCATCAAGGGGGCACAAGATGTACAGGGGGGGGGGGGGCAGATGCGTCACTTCAGAGGATCAATCAGACTTCAGCAGGGGGCTCATCCTTAGGACCGCCAATGCCGCAGTTGCCCTGTACTCATTCAGGATGAGAGAAAATCTAACTGACAACTGGATGCAGGCGCTGACTTCCTTTGATGTGGCGATATTAATCAGATCTGAACGAGTATGTGTGGACTGGTGGGCTCTCAGCCACAGAACAGCTTCCTGAGCGGCAGTTGTGTGTTCAGCGCCCGTCACGCTGACACAGATGGCGAAACTCAATATGAAACGTCAGCACGTTAGCATTGCCTTAGACACACGCATGCAACACGAAGACGGTAGCGTTAGCTAAAAAGGAGCGCTGAGCTGGAGTCCAGCTTCACCCTTCAGCTCCGGTCCATCTGGTTACTACGGATCAAAACGGACATTTATACAAAATGACAGGAAAACGTTTTCAAACAAGTCCACAAAAAGAAAAGATGTGAACAACATTGCGTGAGCTCCAACTGGGTGTGTGTGTGCTTTTATGTGTGTTTAGCTGTGTGTGCACGGGGCTGCGTGATAAGCAAAAGCAGTCGTGGAAAGGTCAATTCAGGGATGCGAGAGACTCACCAGGGGGTTCCTGAAGAATTCATATTTGGCATAGTTCTTCCTGAAGAGGAATTTACTGTCGCTGCTCATGGAGGCTTGGACCTGAACCACCAGCTCATGGTCCTCCAGACATCTCTCTGCAGGGGGACAGACAGCGTTAGTTATGCTTCGGCTCGTTTCCGTAGCGATAACAACACTGTCCTTAGTAAAGTCAGTGCACACAGCTGTGTAATAAACCTCAGCCCATGAATCAGGTGACGTCGCTGTTCGGGCCGTGTGTGAGCATGTTTATAGATCTGGGTCAACAGTTCTGAAAGCCTTTTTTATTATAAAACCAAAAGGAAAACAAACAATTGTTTCATTTTCAACAACCTCAAAACCACTTAACATCTAAAGCTTCAACATGAACCGACACAAAGGAAGTGTCAGCATGATCTTCTTAATCGGTGACTCAAAATGGTTATTTTAGCTAAATCAAGTCACTATACACATGGCATTGTGGGTAATGTAGGTTGTTAGTATTTTGACATTTTGATTTTAATCTCAGACTCCACCAATGCTGCCCTTCATCACCAATTCTGTTTCCAACTTTAATGGACAGGATTTCTAGCTGCAGCCAAGGTGTTCGGGGGATCTGCTTTGGTGGCATAAGGATCAGGTCTCTGCTTTATGCAGATGATGTGGTCCTATTGGTTTCCTCAGATCTTGATCTATGCAGTTCACAGCCGAGTGGGAAGCAGCTGGGATGAGAATCAGCTCCTCTAAATCTGAGACCATGGTCTTGAGTCAGAAAAGGGTAGAATGCCTTCTCCGGGTCAGGGATGAGGTCCTGCCCCAAGTGGAGGAGTTTAAGTATCTCGGGGTCTTGTTCACGAGTGAGGGAAAGATTAATCGAGAGATCGACAGGTGGACTGGTGCTGCGTCTGCAGTGATGCGGGCGTTGTACCGGTCTGTTGAGGTGAAGAGAGAGCTGCGCCTTTAGAGATAGGATGCTTGGTCATTCGGGAGGGGCTTGGAGTAGATACGCTGCTCCTCCACATCGAGAGGAGCCAGTTGAGGTGGCTTGGGCATCTGGTTAGGATGCCTCCTGGACGCCTCCCTGGTGAGGTTTTCCGGGCACGTCCAACCGGGAGGAGACCTAAAGGTAGACCCAGGACACGGTGGAGGGACTATGTCTCTCACCTGGCCAGGGAACGCCTTGGGATTCCCCCGGAGGAGCTGGTCCAAGTGGCTGGGGAAAGGGAAGTCTGGGCCTCTCGCCTTAGGCTGCTGCCCCCGCGACCCGACTCCGGATAAGCGGATGAAAATGGATGGATGGATGGATGGATCAAGCTGCAAAAATCAGACTCTGGAGGAGCTAAAACTGACTTCTGGTCAGATCATCTCAAATCTCCACTGGCTATACGTATCCCCATGTCCGTCGCTGGCTGTACCACAGCATACAATGACACAGCAAGAAAAATCTGGTACCAGCACTGGGGGGGGGGGGGGGGGGTGTTAGGAGGGGCTGTGAAGAAGAAGAGGCACTCTGAGGCAGGGAGGGAGGAGGGGAAGGTGGAGAGAGCTGGTGTGAGATGGGGTGTGTGTGTGTGTGTGTGTGTGTGTGTGAGTGGGTGTATTGCAGGAAGATGATGTCATGTATTTAGGCTGATTGCTGAGAGCAGCAAAGCCATAAGCAAACTACAAACCGCAGACACAAACACACATTAAGGACCTGTGTGTGTGTGTGTGTGTGTGTGTGTGTGTGTGTGTGTGTGTGTGTGTGCGTGCGTGCGTGCGTGTGTGTGTGTGTGTAAGCTAGTCTGTCAGAAATCGGAAGAACTCAGGATTTTCCCTCTTAAACTAGTTTTTAGGTTTTATTTACATTAAGCTGAACAATAAAAACACTAAAAGATAAACATGGTTTATTTTGAGGACACTGTGGTTACTGTTGGTGCTAAAAACGGCACTCTGGATGAACTTCAGGGGTGGAAGTGTGTGTGTGTGTGTTTGTGTGCGTGCTGGCTACATCCAGGGGAATTTCCTGTGGAAGGTTAAAGACAGATTGATTGGTTAGGGAGGCTAGGGGCTCGTCCGATGGAGCCCCACGATTGGCTCCTCGCTGTTCTGGTATGATGCTTTCGTCCAGGCCTTCTCTATCCCCCCACCCCGCCTCTCTCTCTCTCTCCTTCTTCCAGTCCTCCCCCTCCTCCTCTGTTCTGTCTTCATCTTTCTCTCTCTTTTCCCCCTCCTTCCTTCTCTCCACCTCACATTCCATCTCTCCAGTGCACTTTTTTTTTCTTTTCCAGAAACGCAAATCAAGCAAGAAAGCACAAAGCAATCCTTTGACTCTAAAATACGACTCCAGAGAAGGAAAGCCTCACAGAGGACAAAGACAGACCCAGATAAGAGAAAAAAAAAGAAGAAGAAATTAATAAAGCTTCAAAGGGAGTCGCGGCAGAAGTGATGAAGCAAAGCTGTGAGTCTTGTGTTTTTCTTTTGTCCTCCTCTTCACTCCCCCGAGCAAATGATTTGGGAGGGAATGGGCATTGTAAGGAGAACATGGAAAATGTTTAATCCCACAACTACCACACCTCCCTGCCTGCAACATACAGGCAAGCACACACACTCAGGCCACGCTCAAGTGAACATACACACAGGATGTACACACAAGAGAGTTTATCCACCTTTACAGAGTTTAGACACAAACAATACACTCCAGCAGAAAAGACTGACTGTAGGTGAAGGATAATCCAGTAAAACCCGGTTTGCGTGCCCTTACATCTGCAGGTTGGTGTTGATGCTACATGCATAAAGCTGTAGGTTTGCTACAAAATGCTACAGTTAAAGAAAATAGATTGTACTCACCCTAAATCTATGGTTCCTTCTGCAGGAATCACCGTTTCAAACATCCTTACTAAAGCACAAACCAGACATAAAACAGATCAGACCCAGATCTCACCAAGGCCGAGGTTAGGGTGGTGCTCCACCAGCGTCCAGGCGTTGTCGTCCACACAGTGGCTCTTGTAGACCAGCAACTGACACACATCCCGTGCCGTCATGTCTGCTGGGATCTCCACCACTTTGCCGGCTCCATCTTCGCTCCATACCTTCACAATCTGAAGACACACAAGGGACAGATGAAGTTGAGTTTAATGGAGGACAGGTTTTAAACCAGCAGGACGGAGCGTGATGCGCGTGTCCCCAGTTGATCCCAGGAGCTCTGATATGCAGGGGAAAAAACAATAAAAAACAAGGGCGACGCTGTATACCTCCATAACCAGATGCTGAATCAAGTCCGATCTTAAGACGTCCTGCTCGCGTAATTCTGTCACCCGAACATTTAGAAAAAAAACAAAGAAAAAGGGTAAGGTCCAGGAGAAGCTGGCCTGCCCTTGCGCCTTCAGTTCAGCCCTTTTGTCCAAACTTACTCCAACACACCACTGCGATTACACGTTCGCTTTTGTCACGTCTATGATCAAAGAAGTCACCAATTCACGCTTTGGACGCTGGAAAAGCGCACTGCATTTGTACGTGTTGCATTTTGTGGTTAAAAACGTCACCGCTTGGAGCAGCGAGCGGGTAGGGTTCAAAGCTGGAGTACCTCCCATTGTTGCGCCATTTTGAACCATTCCAGCCAAGTGGCCAAAGCGACATTTAAACCGGGTGTAATCTTGCCTTCATGGAGTGTGTCGCAGCACAGATAACCACGGACCAGCTGCTTTACGCTGCTGCAGGAGCAGGCTCACACAGGCGCTCCAACCACGACTCGCCGTTTCAGAAACACATGGAGACGTCAGTAAAAAACACCAGAAAGTGCCTGTAAACTCCTCACGAAAGCTTCGAAACACGAGACAGAAATGGCACAAGTGTTTATGTTTGTGTGTATCCTTGCACACTCCCCCATGCAAACATTTTCTGCCCACAGCAGGGATTCTGCACAGAAACAGGGAGCAACTGCTGAAAATTACATGAAACAAGACACAAAACTGGTGATGGCCGAGAGGCTGGAGAGGAGGGGGGGAATGGAAAATTAAGTCGGACAATGGCGCAGCAAAGTAAAATTACACACAAGCACACAGAAAAATAAATAAAAGACTGCAATGCTTCCCTAAATGAGACACGAAACACTAACAGCACCACGACGGCTCCAGTGAAAACAGAAACAACGTCACTGCACTTTTTAGCTCCTGCAAAGACCGGAGGCTGCCTCCTCTCTCCCCACAAGCCCCCAGAAAAGTTCATCTATGACGCACAAGTTTCGTTTCAGAAAAGTTTTACAAATACTGAGCCGTGGAGGGAAGAAACGCAAAGGTCCTCATCACTCCAAAGTGACAACCAGACGACCATGGACAATCACACACACACACGCACACACACACACACACACACACACACGCACACACACACACACACACACTCGTCTCACGACAGACATCCGGGAACAGAACGAACACACACAGGTCCCTTACCTCCACAGCCTGTAAGAGGCAACAGTCTGGAGAGCAGGATGGCATTTTCACACTGAGTCGCTCTCCAGTGACACGGAGGGACTGAGAGGGAGGGAGGGAGGGAGGGAGGGAGGGAGGAAATGGAGCAGGAGGAGAGGAAGTCAGGAAGAGAGAGAACGTGGGGGGGGGGGAGGGGGGACGGATTGGCGAGGTGAATGTAAGAGATGCAACGGTAAACCGGGAGGGAGGAAGTGACAGGACGGACTAAAGCGAAGGAGAGATGGAGCCAACGAGAGGCAGCCTGCCCCTTCTTCTCATGCTGGGCAGCATAAAAGCTGCTGAGCTGCGAGGAGTCGAGAAAAACTGTAGCAGTCGCTCCTCGCCTCCTCCTCCTCCTCCTCCTCCTCCTCACAGTGGATTAACCCAGTGTGGGATTTTTAAACTGTGAGCTGCTACCTGTCACGTACTCTCTTATCTTCAGGCTTGTGTTTCATCCACCTGATCCCCCTTTCCACAAAAAAAAATCTCTGTCAGCTCCTTTTACTGATGGCGCCACACCATCTTCTCCCCCTGAACACGCCCACAACTCCTCTGACACACATCCAGACAGCGAACAAGCTCAAACTACTGGGCCAATCACAGGACAGGGACACCCATCTCTTATTCTTCTGCATATTCTGACATTTCCTTTGAGCTGCCTGACGGTTTCAATTTCTGTCCCCTCCCTCCCTCGTCCCCTTTCCTCCTCCTCCTCAGCTGCACGTGAAATACTGGGCAGGAGTGTTAGGACCATAGCAACATGTGTAATGCACATTGACAGCTCAGACATTTGCAGAAAGACTCTAAGAAAGACAAAAGTATGAAACGAAAGAAAAAACTGAGGACTGAACAGATCTGGAGGTTTGTGGATGGACCATTCGGGGTCAAGCTGGGGGCTGTGGGGGGAGTTTCAGAGGGGCGGGGGTAAACAGAGGCTCGGGAGTAAGGAGGAATAGAGAAAATTTAAAGATCCATAGAGGAATGTAAGTAATGCAACACTGAGTCATAATCAGGCTCATGTGTAGAACACAGGCCAGCTGGCCCCTAACCTCTCTCTCTCTCTCTCTCTCTCTCTCTCTCTCTCTCTCTCTCTCTCCCTCCCTCTCCCCCTCTCTCTCCCTCTCTCCCTCTCTCCCTCTCTCTCTCTCTCTCTCTCTCTCTCTCTCTCTCTCTCTCTCTCTCTCTCTCTCTCTCTATCTATCTATCTATCTATCTATCTATCTATCTATCTAAAGGCAAAATGTAAACTACGAAGACCATCTGCTGAAGGTTTCCTTCTTCTTTACACTAGTGCTAAAGGGTTACATCTGACCGTGTGTGTGTGTGTGTGTGTGTGTGTGTGTGTGTGTGTGTGTGTGTGTGTGTGTGTGTGTGTGTGTGTGTGTGTGTGTGTGTGTGTGTGTGTGTGTGTGTGTGTGTGTGTGTGTGTGCAGAGACCACATGTACATGCATGAGGTCAGCATGTGGAGGAAGTGATAACTAGCATACTTCGTGCGTCACACAAAGGCAAATTCTTCCTCTTCCTCCATCTGTTTGTTCAGTTTTTTTTCCGATTCCTTCTTTACCTTCAAGGAATCTCAAACAATCTCAAGATTTTCGTCTTTAATTCCCTACATCCAGCTCTATCTTTAAACTCACCTTGCCTCTTTCCCCTCCCCCACCTGCCTCTCTCCCACTTCCACAGAGGAGGGTGAGGGGTAGAAATGTACAAGGTTATTTGTTTCCTGGACTGCTTTTAGTAGCTCACACACACACACACACACACACGCTATATATAATGTTGGGCATGGAGCATCGATTGGAACCGGGACTTAATGTCAGTTTTTTGTTCAATCAATCAAAATTTTTGAAAATTTCAGTTCCTAGTTTGGATTCCCAGTCAAGCTGCAAAATATCAAAAAGAAGAATCCACCAGAAGTGTTTGCATTACCGTGCAATCATGGAAAATGTGAGGAGGCCGCGGACCAAAATCGGCTGACGTTTTCAACACCTTCCAGAGCCGATCATACCAAGGGGCATTCATAGTCTGAATTTTCTGACGCCACCACGGATGTGACAAACCTGCAGTTCCACCATCATCCGCTAGGGGCTGACACAAGAAGGGAGCAAATTCTCATCGAATCCCACGTTAAAAATGACAGTTTCACAGCAAAAATAAACATGATTAAAACATTTTAAATTTATTAGGTCTAGTTTACAGTCATGACAACTGAGGGGGGAGATTTTTTTGTGACTTCCATTTAGGTGTAATTAAATGCTTGAAATGATCAATTATTAGATTTGATTGACTGGTAGCATTAGTCATCAGTGCTAGCATTAGCCGTCAGAGCTAGCTTTAGCCTTCAGAGTTAGCATTAGCCATCAGAGCTAGCTTTAGCCGTCAGAGTTAGCTTTAGCCATAAGAGTTAGCTTTAGCCGTCAGAGCTAGTTTTGGCCGCCAGAGTTAGCATTAGCTGTCAGAGTTAGCATTAGCCATCAGAGCTAGCAATAGCGGCTAGCTCTGGGGAAGGCCTCAGCCTTGGACTCACGTTACAGTTTTTCTCCATTGTTTTGGCTCATTTCTTGAAGCAGAAATTACATTCTCAAAATAACACGGACAAACCTCCAAACCTCTTGGCAAATGTTCACAACAGAATGGCATTTCTCATTCATTTTGTCAAATGACAAATGCCTTAGTACATGTCTCAATTGTCTCAGTGCATCTTTGCAAATGATAAGGTACATGTAGCCTACAGTTATACAGTTAGCCCACATTTAGCACATTTTCCAAATGAACAGATCTTGTAGATCTAAACAGATTAGTTGATTCTCAGTCTAATGATCATTCTCTCCAAAACATGTCAGCATGATGTCATTGCATAAGTACTCGCATGCACAACTGTCTGTTCAATTGTCAGAGTTGATCAAGAACATAATACCATGAAAACCATATATGAATTTCTTTGAATATTTGATACACTGATGACAGTCATTGACAGTCAGGTGAATGAAACTAGACTAACGATTGAGAGAGGTCTCACAGGGCCTCACCTACCCATTTATGCAATTGTGTGGGACAATGTCAATTTCCACCATAGCCCACTCATTAGGGGCTGGTTTGCAACACATCCAAGGACGGTCATGGAGTTCCTACCACCTTACTCTCCTTTCCTCAATCCGATAGAGGAGTTTTTCTCTGCTTGGAGGTGGAGAGTGTATGAGCATCATGCTCAGGATCAGTCGTCCCTGCTCCATGCTATGGACACAGCGTGTGACGACATTACAGGAGATCAATGCAGGGGATGGTTGCGGCATGCACGCCGTTTCTTCCCTCGTTGCATCGCAAAAGAAAGTATCCGCTGTGACGTGGACGAGAATCTGTGGCCAGACGGACAACAGCGTGTAAATAATGAGGGTGAAGACATTGGACAAGAACGGGAGAATGAGTAAAGCAACCACTGAACGTCCTTGTTTTTTGATTTTGTGTTCATACAATTTATTGTATTACTGTAGTGTACATTTTCTTTTTACATATGTATGAAACTTTCTTTGCGTGTGAATGAAAAGTTGTTATAATTTCCTTAGTTGTGTGAGTGCAATCTGTGATGTCAAACCTTGGAGGCTACTCTTTTCGGTTGTATATCGTTGGTCCTCTGCCATAGTGACAAAACATCTAAACATTTTGTATGGCAGTACTCACACAATGCCAAAGGGATGATGCTTTTTGGGGGGCACTGACTATTCAGATTAGAAAGAAATGTAGTTTTGACACATGAGTGAACTGTTTTAGGAGAGATATGAGCTTTTGCAGGTAAACCATGTTGCTGTGATCAACCATCCAGGTTTATTTTGACAAAAGCACCAAGAATGATGAGAATGTCTGATCTGTGTCGAGAAATGAATGTAGCGTCCAGCAATGGTCAGTTTAGGTCCAGCCTGACCTTTCACCATCTATTCAACATCTGGCGAGAAAGGAGACAACATTACATGTGTTCCTTTTAAAATGAGTCTGCCTCACACCAGCTGGGATTCACAGACTCTGCTAGTCTGAAAGATAAACAATAACTTTCTTTCCTCAAGGTCCCATCTGTCTGCCTCCAGAAGAAAGAAGAACTCCAGTTCAAATCAGCTGCTAAATTCAAGAATGATTTAATAAATATGAACTTCTTCTATGGCTTATGATCTGGATAATCATTAAATAAGCACTTGTTTATTACTACGTGTAATAATTATAGTATAATGAAATGCTTCATTAATCTGTGCTCACTGAATGGATGTTATATTATGGTGTCTAGTAGAACCTGTCATGTGTTCAGCATGTTTTGACGACAAGGTCCTCACACCTGGATCCACACAATAACAAGTACGGTTAAGTTAGACTACAACACATAACTTGCCTTTTTAACCAGTCAGGCTTTCCGATATCAAAGAGGGTGTGTTTCTGAGTTGTCTTGGTAAAACATCTCCAAACTTGTCAGCCTCTGATTGGCTGTTCAAATCATAACAGATAAACCTTGAAACTAGAGCATTCTGAGAGATTCGACAGTTCTAGAGGATCGCTAACCCAACCCCGTACATCCGCAAAGAGGGCTTGGATTAACCACATATTGGACAGACACCTGCACGTGCATAACCGAACACACACAAACACACGAATCAGCAGGGTCAGAGGTCAAACACAGTAATCTGCACCCAGGTCAGACCCACTTGACCAAGAGGTTTAAAAGCCACTAAACCTCTCCCCCTTCCCCTCCTCTATGTCATTGTTACACACACACACACACACACACACACACACACACACACACACACACACACACACACACACACACACACACACACACACACACACACACACACACACACACACACACACACACACACACACACACACACACACACACACAATTGATCCGGCTGCTTAAAGCCAGAGCCAGTCTCTTCCACCGTAACATGAGCTGGCGGG